AATGAGCTTCATAAATTGCAAAACTTCCAAGGATGTTTCAAGAGGAAATCCAAGAAAAATAGCTAAAGAAACAACTATAGTATACATAAACAATTTCGAATTGTAATCCTTGCTAGATGAGTCCCAGCTATTATAAGCAAAAAGAACAAAATTAACAAAAAAAAAAAGTTCCATATTATTGTTAAGATCCTTAGCTAGCTGCCGGTATTGATGAAGACATTTTCTTACGGGTAGTGCTATCACACAGCTATTTCTCACTTCTATTAAGCTCGTGCATTGCTCACACATGTGATTTATTATTCTTAAATTAAATTATCAAACATATAAGAAGTCAAAATTAAAACTCTCTCAAGTCTTAATTATTTCTGATGAAAGAGGAAGACGGGACCAGGCCTTAAGTATTGGGCCCCCATGCCTAATGGAGGCCCGACCTTGAAGAGAAGTTTACTTTCGTGATTTTAGAAATGTTTAAGGTGCACATGATGTCATGTGTTCAAGATGTAACCTTATTCGACGTTGGCAGAGGAGGAGAAAAGAAAAAGAACACAGTCGGAGAGATGAAAAATAGGATACTTTTTTAGATTTTAAAGGGTAAATTATAGCTTAGTACCTTCTACTTTAGGGCTAATTTCATATTAGTACCCAAACTTCAAAATGTGCCATTATAGTACTTGAACTCTAGAAAATTACTAATAGTCCAAAATCATTAATCATTGGAAAAATTCCTGATCAGTATCTTGTATTTTGGCTACAGTGATAATTTGGTTCCCAAACTTTAAAATGCAACAATTTAGTACCCGAACTTTCGAAATGTGACAATCTAGTACCTGTCCTTAATGGATAGTCAGTTATGTATATCATGTGACCTCATATGTGATTTAAGACTTTTAAAATGTCAAAATTACCCTTGAAAATAAAACACATTGTTCATTATCTTTTTCCTCAAGAACCAAAAGCTTGGGCTCTATTCTTTGAGGTTTGAGGTTTCCTGTTTTCGGTTTTGGATTTTGGTTTAGCTGGAGTTTTGTACATCTCCTCCAATACACCCTTTGTTCTTTTAGGCTATGTTTGGTTTGAAGGAAAAAGTAGCGAAAAGAAAGGAAAGGTAGGGAAGTCTTTACAAACCTTGTATAGGTTTTCCTACCTTTACTTTCCTTTCCTTACCTTTTCCTTCAAACCAAACATACCCTTAATGAAAGTTAACCTTTTCTCTTTCAAAAAAAAAAAGAAAAAATATAATCCACACATATTTACCATTACATATCCTTGGAGTAAAAGCCAAAGTGAAAAATAAAAAGAAAGGTTATTGTGGCTGATGCTGACAGTGGATTGGCATTGTGTTCAATCCCAATAGCCATATCAGCCCTATACCTAATCTTATGTCTTTTAAACACATGGCAATGGCTTTTCAAACACAAAGTTTCATGAAGGCATGAATGGAGGGAGAGGAAGTCACAGATTCCCTTTGAGCTCCAAGCTTACCATACTGAAGATTCCCAATTAAGTCATGGCACTAGCTATGGTGGGTCTACCATGGATGCACCTTTATCATTATTAATTTTTATCAGTGTTCAGTATCACTAAAATTGATTTCTATAATGTGCCTTTATTACGTTATCACTGTCTAATTACATGATCATTAATTCAATATTAAGTATCATTAAAATTGGTTTTCCTTATGCAATGTGGAGATACGATTAGTATTATTAAGATGAAAGAACCGTAACTCGGTCTGAGAAAATTAAAAAGTAAGATAAAAGCTAAAAAAAGCCGCATATTTCAACAACATAATGAATCCATGAATGATCGAACACGAAAAGAATGCATCGTTAAAGTAAAGTGTCGAAAATCAATTTGAAACTTCTTTGTAGTGTCGAATGATCAAAACCCGTTTCAAATTTAATCCTAATTGTTTGTTACAATTTCAATACTTCAAAATCCACCTCGAATAAGACTATAATAGAAATAAACAAATGTCATTAAAAATCTGGCAAAAAGCGTATAAATTTCGGAGCGACAAAAGTGTCTTGATACTTGAGAGAGAGATAAAAGTGTTGTCCCATGGATGAAAGATTTGATGGTTGGTTCTGATTTTAATGGATGGTTGATAAAAAAAGTTATATAACTCTTTAAGGGCATTCATGTCATTTTATATATCACTTAACAGTTGGTTAACGTTAGGTATTAGATTGTCGCATTTTAAAGTTTGGGGACCAATTTATCACTTAAACCAAAGTAGAGGGTACTGATCGAGAATTTACCCTTAATAATTGTTAGATGTTATGTGAAATGACACTAATATCCTTTGAGTTTGAATAAGCGAGTAAAACATAATTTGAAATGGCCAAAATAGCCATATTTAAATTCATTTTCTTTACAATTGGGCACCACTATTCTCTTTGTGCCCTAACCTTTATGCCTAAAAACCAATGCTTCCCATTGGAAAAGTTGTACAGAAAAATGTTGCCAAATAAGATGATGTTGTTACGGAGAAGAGGACTTTAGATAACGTAGTTGTAATCATTTTTTTTTAATTATTCAATCCATAACAAGGGGGTTAGACTGTCATTGTTGCAAGAGAAGATGAATAATTCTTGTTATTGTTGATGAAGACAGTCAAGGTAAATAAATTTTTTAAAAAAGTCTAATACAAATAAGGGTATGAATTGACGATTTGTGGGAGCTCAAGTACTTGGTAGTTAGGGGGTGTTCTTTTTTTGGATTTTGAGAAGGGAAAAGTTAGTCAATGGGATTTTGGTTTCATTGACCAAGAATCTCATATTCTTTTTTTAGATTTATGTGGGTATCAAGGAAAATTTATTTTCTTGGGTATCACTTACTCATCTCCTAGGTGGATAAATAATTTTCTCACCTAGGGGGAAAGTTGTCAACACTTGAATGGGACAAGAGTGCCCCTTTTAATAATGGAATTTTATGGATAAAATGGTCATTGCCTTATTTACATGAGAAATAAAAGAAAATGGGTAAATGCACTTACCCGAATAAGTGTAGGAAAAACTTATCCAAGTAACTACATTTACCCAGGTAAATAACTTACCGAAAAGCAAACAAGGCCTTAATAGTATATTTTGAAGTTTGGGTGCTAGAATGAGACTAGCTCCAAAGGCCCAAAGTACACATCACGTCACCTGCCCAAAATAACTGATGAAGTGTTCCCTCATTGGAGTTGAGTGTTTGTTTTTCAATATTTAGGGTGGTTGATTATCTTCCAAGTACTTATAATTAATTTTCCCAAAACTATATGGGGTAAAATACAAGAACTTCCCCTAAAGTTTATGACAATCATAAAAACCTCCGTTATAGTTTTATTTTAACAAAAACCTCCCTTGAACTTTTAGAGATCTTGACAAAAACCTCCATTCCATCAATGATTCAGACAAAAAACTGATAAAATTATGAAATTGCCACTAATTAATTGTAAGGGAATCAATAAAATATTTTAAAATGTTGGAATTGCCCCTGCTTCCCCTTCTTCTTGCAATAGAAGGGAACTACGTGGTTTCTTCTTCTTCTTCTCCTTTGTCCCCACCCTCTTCTATCAAATCGATTGAGTTGGAGCAACCGAAGGGACTGTTCATCTTCTTCATGGTGGTAGCGAGAGAGAATAAGTCTTCTCTACAAAGAAGCTAGAGAACCATATTTGCATCACAAAAAGATATTTTGATGAAGGTTGTTGTACTTCTTAGAAAAGACCATGTTTTCATGAATCAAGCATTTCCTTTTTCTTCTCGTTATACAATTGAAATTTTAATAATAAATATAGAAAAAAATTCCCTCATGAATTGACTTCAATTTCCTTGCTTTTGATCCCCTAAGAATCGTTGGGCAATGCTATTAGGCCAAAGGTACATGCAAGGAATTTCTATGAAGCTCAACCAATTATACTAGGCAATCTATCTCAAGGTTCCAAGTATCAACAAGTATTGACTGATACATATCGTGTCGGTAGCTTCCCAATATGCCCATATAGGGGTTGTATCGGGTTAGACCACGGTTCAGAGGGTAGCCAGGGCTTAAACCGATCCCTCTAAATTAATTAAAAAATAAATAAATAAAGCTTTAAAAAAGTATCGATACTCCTTACTGGCATATTGGCTTGTATTGGTACTTTGAACCTTGATCTATCCAACTCCAAATTAACCAGTCAGAAGTTTATTGAGAGATGAACACTGGTTGATTTGCACAAGTTGTGTAATGCAGGTTGTTGCCAAACAGGATGGCATTCAACTTTGTTCATAGCAGGCGGCACCTTCGCATATTTTATCAGGTCCTCCAGCTTCTTTGTAGAGAAGTTGTTCACCCGATTCACCTTGCTTGCCTTGATGCAAATAAGCCCTCCATTACAGTCCATGTCTCTGAAAGGCATAGAGGAGCCATGACTTCCAACTCAAACCCACGAGATTGCATCTTGGTCTGAAATGACCAATGTATCTATAACAAAAATATGGCGACAATCCATTAGGTTCAATTTGAAAAGAGTACAAATGCAAATATGTACAGTGCAAATACATATAAAATAATACAAAATATAAAGTTTTACACTACATATTTGCATTTGTACTCGTTCCAAACTAAGCCTAAGTAGTAAAACCCTCAAAGGATGAGAGGACCAAAACACTACAATTCTTAAACGAACACAAAGAAGATTAATAATGCCTTTCTGTTGGTCCAACTCAATCCAAGAGAGAGAGAAGAAGAAGAAAAAGAATAAGAAGTCAACAAGAAAAACCAGTGAAAGGAGAGATTGGGGGAAGGATTTCATGCTGTTCCCTTCTGTTGCGAGAGGAAGGGGAAGTAGGGGCAATTCTAACATTTTAAAATATTTTATTGATTCTCTGTCAATTAATAAGGGGCAATTTCGTAATTTTATCAGTTTCCGTCTGCATCACTGGCGGAAGGGAGGTTTTTGTCGAAATCTTTAAAAGTTTAGGACAGGTTTTATGATGGTCAGAAACTTGAAGGGATGTTTTTTTATTTTACGCTAACTATATTGAGACCGAAGAAGCGAAGCGAGCGGGGGATCTTCCCCCTCTACTCCTCTATTCCATATTTTGTTGAGTTCCATTGTTGGGTTTCTTTGCTTCTTGTTTTCCGGCCAAACAACCAAGGAAAAAAAACCCTCGGTTACTTTACTTGAGCAGAAGTGCTGCTGATAGTCCGGTGTCCGAGTTGTCTCTTTTACTCTTACACAACGATTGCTAGAAGCACATGAGCCGCTACGACAGCCGGTCCGGCGACCCGGGTTTGTACCGTGACCGGAAAAGGTGACTATCTCTATCTCTCTGGAGCCAGGAGCGGAGGCAGATTTCTTTTTATTTGTCCTTTTTTTCACATTTCTTGTTATTTGCTTTTTAACTAGCAGTGATTCCGGTTTTGGAAGTGGTGGAGGTGGCGGCGGAGCTGCGAGTTATGGAAGCGGTGGCCGTTCGTCATTGTCAGGCAACAGGGAATACGATAGTGGTGGGCCGCCCAGGAAGCAGGGCCTCGATGGGTTAACCCATTTCGAGAAGAATTTCTATATTGAGTCTGCGTCTGTGGCGGCGATGACCGAGAGTGAAGTTGAGGAGTACCGCCAACGGAGACAGATTACGGTTGAGGGCCGAGACGTTCCCAAGCCGGTCCAGGACTTTCGCGACGTAGGGTTTCCAGGTACTTTTATTTGTTTGAGCGGAAATGCCCCTTACCATTCATTTGATCTCGAAATCATTTGCTAATTGCAATGCTGATAGTCTGATACTTCTCTTGTGCATTGGGAATGTAATTGGTTTGTAACATTACGAGTCTGGAATTACTTGCGGAAGGGCCTCGAATCTATTTTTTAGCTACTACACTATAGCATTGATTCCTAATGAGTAATGATAATACAAGCAAAGTAGATATGCTCAGTTTGAGATTAACGTGTTATTCTTACTAAATTCAAAAGCTAGTAAGTTAGGAGTTTCGTGCTATATTCCTTCTCTTATTTCAATCTTGACCCTCTTGTTCTAGAGCATTGCTGGCTAATGCTTCAATTGTCTGCATTTCCTCTAAAACTTCTTCAATTTTTTAATCTTCAAGGAAGCTTTACTTTTTTAAATAATAAATAAAATTCATTAAAAATTAAAAAAGAAAAATAGAGAGAATACAAATTCTGGGACAACTAATAAGTGATAAGGTATCTTCTTATGCAAAGCAAAAGATCCCTCTCACAACCACACTCCTAATAAAACAAAAGGTCAACAGGACCCACCAAACCACTCGGGAAAACAAGAAGTACTACCAACAAGACTCAATAACACAACACCATGACCACGGCAACACAACATAACACTTGGAAAACTAGGGCAGGTTTTAAGTTTCCAGGAAAATGTTTAGAATCTAATACATCCAGTTATTTGCTTTGTGAAAAAGTAAAACTCCACTGAGTTGATTTTCATTTCTTGGAATCTAAATTTGGACAACACAAGTGTTGAGCAGGTTTATCAAATTCCTCTTTAAAGTTGAAATTATCTGCTTTGAATCTTTGAGAAAGGTTCACTGTTCATGGGGTGGATTTCATGGATTAGGGAACTTGGTACATTGGGGTTACTGGTCAGTTTGGCTTTGTAAACAATCCTTAGTTTATCAACTCCATTGGGTTCATAGAGGAAAGGCAATACAGGACTTTAGACTACTATGCTACTGTTACTTTTTTTGGACAAATGGAAAGATTATTGTATTATATTACTGTGAAAAGAGGGCAAGGCGTGCTCCAAAAGATGTACAAAAATCTATACGAGTATCACTATAGCATGTATGGTGATGTACAAAATTAATTGAAAACCAATTGAGATCCAATCATTTGAAATTCTACTGTTACTAAATTTGAAATACATAATAAAATACTTATTGAAACAAGACATATAAAAATGAATTTAACTGTAAAACAACATAATGAACCGTAGAAATAATAGTGTTATGTATGTTTGGAGGTTGAGCTGTGCATGTCTCACCCTGTTCTCCTTACGGGGAGATTCATATGTATGGTACCTTAGCTTCTGAATTGATAAAGTTCAAGATCTGTTGGTGAAAAAGGAATTGATATAAGTGAGAGAAATTATTATATTGATACCTTTTGCTTGTATGACTGTGTATAAAATGGGCATTTAAACTTGGCAAGCATAGTTATCAAGGCAACACCTAGGCGATAAGGTGCTCATGGAGGGTTGCCTTGCTTAATCGTCAAGATATTTTATACAGTGCTCTTGGATACTTTTATATTCTTAACTTTTTTAGATTAAAATAAAAAAATAGACATTATTAAACTAAAGTATTCAGTTTAAGTTAAAATACTAGTGTTTTTAATTATTTTTCTCATTTGTTAGGGTTCAATCAACATGTATACTTCCATGAACCCTTGAAGACTTCAAAACATGAACCGATAACAATGGAAGAACTCAAAATTTTACCTAATCAGCACATATTGATTATTTTCTTCTTCTTGTTCTTCTTCTTCTTCTTCTTCTTCTTCTTCTTCTTCTTCTTCTTCTTTCACCCTTTCTTTATACAATCATCCTTTCTTTTCTTTTTTCCTTTTCCTCTTTTCCAGTTTTCCTAGGACAAAAATAGTGGATCAACCCTTTCTATTTCCTGAAATTTCTTTTCTTCCTTCCATTTTTCCATGAATATGTTGATTTTTTTTTTTGTTTTAAATGAAGTCTATACATTTTTTATAAAGATTGTAGACAAATGAAGTCTATACATTTTCCTAGGACAAATGATTGCCATTTGTTATGGAACTTAGGGATTGCCCTAGGATTCATGGTTTTTATTCAAAAACCCCATCGCCTGGGTTGGGTGTGGACCCGAACCGATGGGCCAGTTTGGGTTCCTGATATATATTGTCCCGATTCTTATCGGTTTGGAACCGGTTCCACCCAATCCCGAACTGATTCAGACCCAACCCAAACTACATACATATTAAATGTCTAATATATTAAATAAATTAATATTATATATAATATTTTTAGTAGGTTTATTATAATCAGGTCCATCGGGTCAGACCTGATTGTCCCAAGAACTGACTGGTTCGGCTCTGGGGTCTAATATTATAGACCCTATTGGGTCCGGTTCGGTTCTGTGTCTTTAGCATTTCTTATTGGGTTGGTTCTGGTTCTACCTGGACCCAACCCAGACCCGACCTCTTGACAGCCCTACAAGAAACACACACTTTTAGTACAATTTATTTCAATCGTCTTTTAAGCCATATACTTGTAATCCATTCGTCTAGAGTATGTTTCTTGGGAACTTAGCTATAGGAACTTATTTATTCAAATACTTAGATAAGGTAAGCTTCCGAGCATTTTCATTTGACATTCTTGGATCCATTTTTATCTCTTTTTGTGTTGTCTGGATCTGGATGGGAGTGATAACTACAACATACTCAACTTCAGATTATGTCATGCAAGAAGTTCTGAAGGCTGGCTTTGTTGAACCTACTCCTATTCAATCTCAAGGGTGGCCCATGGCTTTAAAGGGCCGTGATCTCATTGGTATTGCTGAAACAGGATCTGGAAAGACGCTTGCCTATCTACTGCCTGCTATTGTCCACGTTAATGCACAATCATTTCTAGGTTTAAGTGTTTCTTCCTTATTCTTTTATGTCATTCTTCTTCTTCTTCAAAAAAAAAAAAATCTTTTATATCATTAGTATGGTTCTTCTGTATTTCTATTATTTGATAGTTGGCATGAATTTTCTTCTCTTTCTATATTTTCAGCTCCTGGAGATGGTCCTATTGTCTTAGTTTTAGCCCCAACACGTGAGCTTGCTGTCCAAATACAACAAGAAGCCACCAAGTTTGGGGCATCATCTAGGATTAAGAATACCTGTATATATGGTGGGGTTCCAAAAGGACCTCAAGTTCGTGATCTTCAGAAAGGTAGATTACTGTTACAATTAAGATAATCCAGCTAACATACAATCTGGTTCTTCTAGTTGTGTTGTGTACCGGATCTAGACATCCCAGGAATCTTGGGGTGTAGATGGGGTCAGTGTTCTTCTCACTGCCTTCTATTGATGGGGCAAGTTTCAGCTTAAAACTCCTTGCCATGTGACTGAAATGAGCGTTCTTTGGGATATTTCTCAGATTAAAATATTAAAACCCCACATGGCTGTATGACTTGGGAAAAGCTCCACTGTTGGTATGGGGCTGATTGGATGAATGAACTCTTAAGCCAATCCAGAGGGTTCCTTATCCAATAGACGGTTCTGTGCAGCAACTAAATTTGTCGAAAGGTCCAAAATAAGTTGGATCCCTGCTTGATCTGTCTGTGAAAAAAAGAATACAATTTGGTCCTTGTGAACTTAAAAGCTATTGATGGAAATACATTCTGTTCTCTGTTTTCCTATTTAGGTGTTGAAGTCGTAATTGCTACACCTGGAAGGCTCATTGATATGTTAGAATCCCATCATACAAACTTGCGAAGGGTCACCTACCTTGTTCTGGATGAGGCAGATAGAATGCTAGACATGGGTTTTGAGCCTCAGATTAGAAAGATTGTCTCTCAGGTGTGCTTATTTTTCCTTTATTTTCTTTACCGTGCAGAATGTCTAATGTCTTGATTTTACTTGCTTTACATCCTAATTATTAGAAAAACATTTGGACTAAAGTCACTAGTGAGTTTCAATTGCTAGGATGCCGTGGAATTGTTCTTTTTTGTCATTATATTGTGAAAACTACGAATATGAATGCGGTCACATTGTTGAACCCTACTTGTTTTTTTTTTTTATTAGCAAGAAATTTATTGTATTAATTAATTATAAGATAACAGTACAGTTTGATGACCATAAAGTCATCCCAAGTAATGTTTGCTAGGTTACATAGAAGCCCAAAACAACTGTTGCCTTTCTTCTCCTTGTTTAGCAAGGGAATCAGTTAGTCCATTTGCACTCCTACGTACCCACTTGAAATCAGCATTTAGTTCTTTTGCAATCCTTTCAACTTCCCTGTAAACATTCTTAAGAGTCCAAGGGATATGTTTGTTACATCTTGCCCAAGAAATAACTATTTTTAAATCCCCTTCTACCTCCATCTGTCTGAAACCCAATTGCTTTTCCAACTGGAGACCATGTAGATGTAGTAGAGCCAACAATTCAGCCTTCACAGAATTAGCTGTTCCAATTGGTCCTGAATAAATAGCTAATATCTTGCCCTCCAAATTTCTAATTGCCCCACCACTTCCTGCCATACTTGGGTTGCCTAAGGAGCTTCCTTCAAAGTTCAACTTTACTTTGCTGCCTTGTGGGGGTTTCCACTCCATTCTTATTCTTTTTTTTTTTTTTCTCTAGAGAACTGTGCTACTTCCTTCCATGCCCTTAGGATGTTATTAATTGTTGAACCCCACTTGTTTATGGTCAGCTAGATGGATCCCTGGTTCCTCAAGATTTTAAAATGGATTTTGATGGTAGACTGGCTGGGATGGGAGGAGTCTTTTCCATGCATAATGGATCATATCTTTTTCACCATTCCTGATTGCTCCTTAAGAGAGGTGGGTTCTAACAATGGTGGAAGTTATTGTCTTACTCCAGTTACTTCGGATTGGAAGGCTAAGAACTATCTCTTTGGTTAAGGGAGAGTCAAGCATGCCATCATGTGGGCAAAGAATCCATTTGGCATTAGCTTATCATATCAGGGATGCAAAACTTTTGGTTAAGGAATTTCCAGGTTCTCTTAGAATCCAAGGGAAGACAATATTATCGTCAACTAGCTAGAAATAGGGTTGGCTGGTTGGTAGAGAGGATTGTATAGTGGCAACTGTCTGTTTTTGAGAAAAGGTAAGGTATATTTTCATTAATGGAGCAAAAAGAGGGAATAATCCCTATACAGTGACATGCTGTACACATATAAAGCAACTTTATGTCATTATGAAGTTATTCTGGGGACTTTTCCTCTAGTTCCCCCTTTTGTTTATCCTGTAACGATTAATGAAATACTCCAGTATTGTCAGGATTTAAGAAAGTCACACCATAGCCTCCCAAATAATTATTATCATCATTCCTTAGGCCTTTCTCAACTTTGTTAGCTCGAGTACATAAGTCATGCATTTCCATTCTACTTCATTGTGGCAATATTATACTATTAGGGCATTATCCTTCAAAATCTTTTATTTACTGCTTCAACCAACTTTCTTTTTTGGCCATTGACCCTTCCCTCATTCTTTGAGTTCCTTCAAGATGTTCCAATCTACTTATTGTTACTGCTGCCATCATTGATTATCTTAGGACATGATCCAACCACTTAAGTTGACTAATTGACTCTGTCTTTTTGACACCTATTGGTCTACCTTGAAAGTTTCACATAAATGTATTCCTTTATAATCTTCTCTTCCTAGTTTTGCCACTCACCCATCTAAGCATCCTTATCATGGATCCACTGATTTAGTGCATGCATCCTTTCTTAATTGCTCAATATTTTATGGATGTGTTACAACTCTTAGTTGTTCCCAAGTTTTGGGGGTAAAAATAACTTATAAAACTTCAAAATGGGGTCTTTCAAGAATAGCAAAGCTTGTTGAACTTATTGCAGTAAATAATGATGGAAGTGGTAGATAAAATTTTCTCCCAGGTGATTATATCTAATTATTCTAACCTCACTAGAATTGTAGCTTTCAATTGGGAGGTTTATTGTGAGAAAATCAACACTTGTGACCTGTTACAGAAAAGGAGACCTCACTCATGCTTTTCTCCCCATTGGTGTATTTTTTGCAAGGCAAATGGTAAATCCTCCTTTCACTTACTAATCCCCTACCTTTTTGCTACTGGTATTTGGGATTGCTTTCTTGCTTTGTTTGGTTGCAGGTAGACCCCTCCTTCCAATATGTCAAGCCTCTTTGCTCCCACTTCATTTGTTTGGCCGAAGAAGAGAGAGTCATGTGGAGAAGTATAAGAGCTGCAGTAACCTGGACGCTTTGGGAAGAAAGAAATGCAAGAATTTTCCCTTGAAGGGGAAAGGAATAAGGAGGCTTTCATAGAATGCATAATCATTAGAGTTGTTCATTAGCTAAAGCCGTATTCAGATTTCTCAGTGGATGAATTCTATGGAAAGTGGCTAATTCATCATCTTTAAAACTTGGTGTTAGTGTGTCTTGGACACCGTTGATTGAGGGATACATAAAATTGAACTTTGATGGCAGGAGTAGGGGGGATCCAGGCCTCTCAATTGTAGGTGACTTGTTCAGAAATGAGTTAGGTCAGGTGATGGTACTTCTCAGGTCCAATTGGCATCGGGATTCATTGAGGGCTGAAGTCATGATGGTTGTGGAAGGAGCAGTCAAAGCAAAGGAGTTAGATGTACACAAGCTGATTATAGAAGGGAATTCTCAACTGGTGGTTAAGTGGCTACAAAATAAAGGGAATGACCTATGGATGCACAAAAATGAGTTAAAGAAGATTAAATGGATAACTTAACTAGGAGTATGAATATTAGAAATTTAGAATTCAATGGGTCCAAAGGACAGCTAATAGCATGGTTGATGCTTTGGAAAAATATCTTTTATCTTATCTTTAATAAACGAAAGTTACAGTTATTAATCAAAAAATACTAATTATTCTGACATGTAAATTTATTATCAAGTAAGTCCTTATGTTGAAAGGACAAAATTTCAATCGAGGCACCATAGCAATGAGAACCATGATCTTTGGGTTTGGGCAAAACTTTTCGCCATTAAAAGCCAAGTAAGAGTATCATTGCTCGTTCTTGTAAATGTTCAACTCCTATTACCCCCTGCTTTGCCAGTGATTCATCTATGTTGTTTCCTGTACAACGTATGCCCTTGCTCTTGAACCCTTATGTTGAAGGGAAAAATTTTCAATTAAGGCACCATAGCAATGAGAACCATGATCTTTTGGTCTGGGAAAAATTTTTCATCATCAAAAGCTGAGTAAGAGTGCCATAGCTCATTCTTGTAAATGTCTTCAATTCCTATAGATGCTGCTTCCTTCACTAGAAATAGATGACTCTTCTAGTAAACCCTCTAATTTATATATTCCTTATTGGTGTTTTAGTTAGATTATAAATATTTGACCTCCTAATTGGATCTTTTTCATGAATTTCTTATGAACTAAAAGAGCAAGTCTTGTCAAGGTTCAAAGTATTGACACGTATCGGGCTGTATCGGCTGATAAGTATCGTATCGGGAGCTTCCCGATACGCCCCTACAGAGGGTGTATTGGGGTTTTGATCTGTTCATGAGGTGGATGGACATTAAACCGGCCCCTCTGAACCAGATTTGAAAAAAAAAAAAAACTAAAAAAAAAAGCTATCAAAGTATCGACGATACTGCCAAATACGCCTCTACCGGCATATCGGGTGTATCGATATTTTGAACCTTGAGTCTTATAGAGTCTATATAGGATGTTTTTATTCTTCTATTTCTTATCCCAATGTATGGGGATTTCTGTAAATTGCCGGGGAGTTGGTGCCTTGTTTTTCAGTGTATTTTGGATTCAAGAAATGTGCCACTCTCATAAATCATCATCACCTGCCTAATTTACCTAATTGGTGTTGGCAGCATGACCATGTGGACCCTATTTAGCTGATAAAAAATAAAGGGGAAAAAAAAAGAAATTGGACCCTGTTTGCAGCCATAAAGGTAAATGCGTCTTTACCATCTCCTTGATCTCAACTGTTGCATACCTGATGTTCAGCTTGAATGAAGGCATCTCTAGCTTCTCAACATTTCCAATGAAGTGCTTTTTTAGTGAACCCCTTGGCTTTTTTATTTATAAATATTAACAAATGTTTACATGGATGCTCCTCTGAAATGTGGCTGTCTCCAAGCTTGTATAGTTGTACCATGGTCATGAATCAGGCAAGTTCAGACAACCTGATGCATGTGTCCCCATTGATATTTTACTGAGTTACTCCAGAGACCAATTGTTACATGTGAGTTTCACATTGTTTGCATGCTTCTAGGGTATTTTTGGCTCACAAAACACAGTGTCTTAGCTAAATAGAATCCATGATTTGGTGAACAACTTGGTTCTGAAGTGGTCCAAGCATTTTACCTTTGTGAATGCTTATTTTGGTCTTGTATAATGTTCATGAGATAGCAACAACATCTAGCAGAAAATCATCAAATCTCAGGAAATTTTTACTGATTTATGGTCATATTTGATGGATAGATACTCCTATGTGGAAAAAGAAGGAAACAATCACGGTATTAACTTTCTGTGAAAACAAAATCTGATCCTTGGATTTGGTTGACATGACATCCTGAACTATTTGTCCTGAGAGTTGTGGTTCTTAATATCTTTTCTTTGTACAGATTCGCCCAGATCGTCAAACTTTGTATTGGAGTGCTACTTGGCCCAAGGAGGTTGAACAGCTCGCCAGGTCGTTTCTTTACAATCCATACAAGGTGAAACCCTTACACCCTAACCTAGGATGGTAGAATATGATTGTCATCTACTGGGGCTCCATCTTGAATTCCAGGCATACTAATTAATTAATTGCCTTCCATTTGTTTTGGTGCAGGTAGTCATTGGTTCTCAAGATCTGACAGCAAACCGTGCAATACGCCAGATTGTGGAGATCGTTTCGGAGAATCAGAAATATAACAAGTAGGGCAAAAAATATATTTGCTGGTTCCATCTGGTTTTCGACGTATGCATGAGCCCTTACTGATTGTGTTAATAATTTCAGATTGGTGAAGCTGCTGGAGGATATCATGGATGGCAGCCGAATTCTTATATTCATGGATACCAAGAAAGGATGTGACCAGACCACAAGGCAGCTTCGGATGGATGGTTGGCCTGCTCTGTCAATTCATGGAGATAAGAGTCAGGCAGAGAGGGATTGGGTCCTCTCAGAGTTCAAGGCTGGCAAGAGTCCGATTATGACTGCAACAGATGTTGCAGCACGTGGTTTGGGTATGTGTAGTGTTTGCATTGGCTGTGGCAAAGGATCTATGTTGCTATTAATGTTCTATCAGCTATTCTTCAATATTTTATGTATAAAAACATTTTATAAAATATAATATGTATTTTGAAAATAAACTAGAATACTAATATTGGCATTCTGAAAAGATTAGCAGTCATTATTTTTAACCATGCATCTATAACCTATTATTTATATTTGAGCAAGTTCATCTCATAGGTGTGTGCCTTGACTCAAGTTAGATAGTGCATGGATGAGATTTTTCACTGGAAGCCATTCTCCTATTCACTGTATATATGACTTGGGGGGCTGTTTGATAACAGCTGAATTGGCCGAAGCATATGACTTATTACTTTGTCTTGTCTTTTAGTGGATGAAATAATTTAATAATTAATTATTTGAGTATATAGTAATCAACCTAACTTCAGTTTCAGCCATTGAAGAGCTCACAACCTCCTTTAAAGACAAAGCAATAAGCCATTTCAGTTCAGCCACTTCAGCTGTTATCAGATGGCCCATTAGACAGACAGATATTGTTGGTGTTGAACTCTTTATAAACTGATATTGGACATGTGTATACAGTTTATTTTAGTACAATAGCTGAAGTGTTGAATAGCTGCTATACCTGATAATCCTGTGGATCATCTGCTAATATAGCAGATACTCAACTCTATTCAGCCTTAATCCCATTGGGATTGGATTTATGAACCTTGTCCTGTCAGTGTGCTCCATTAAGAGCCATTTTTGTCAAATAGGCTGTCCTTGGATTATTTAATACCATTTGGCCCATTTTTTATTTGGTCTGCCCTTTTCTCTTTCTTGCACCAAGTCATTCCTTATAGGTGATGACAAAATGTATGTCATGGAATTGTCTAAATCCAAATTTCCCTTATTTTGTCACCAATTGGAGCCACTCATAAGCCCTCTCAAATGTGCTGTTTCTATAGTCTTGCCATTCATCCATCCCAGCTATACTCATTTTTTCAACATATTGTTGATTGCCAATCACATGTTTTAAAATAAGAAAAAATGAAAACAAAAATCTAGATTGGTAGAAATAAGCATCAGCATCATGTGGCATGACAAAACTTTCAGACAAAGTATATTATTTAAACTGGATTTCTCAGTTTCAATAAATATGCCAATGACCCAGTAGTTGAGATGGTCAGTTGGCATCCCTCCTAATAGGAGGCACAGGATCAAGCCTGCGGAACCGCAGGCTCTTCGTGGTATGATCAGTGGGCATCATATTCACCCTGCTTTGTCACCACCCCTGATACCCCTATACTGTGTAGTAACTAATACCAAGAAAAACAAATTCAATAAACACATTTTTTCACCCCTGCTCATTTCTAGTCATGCTGGCAGATGTGAAAGACGTAAAATATGTGATAAATTATGATTTTCCGGGATCTTTGGAGGATTATGTCCACCGCATTGGCCGAACAGGTAGGGCTGGGGCCAAAGGAACAGCATATACTTTCTTTACAGCTGCAAATGCCAGATTCGCCAAGGAACTTATTACCATCCTTGAAGAAGCTGGACAAAAAGTCAGTCCAGAACTGGCTGCAATGGGACGTGGTGCACCTCCTCCAGGTTAGTCACACCGAGTCACTTTTCTTTCTTTCATCTTTTGTGTGTGTGTGTGATAAGGGCCAAGTCAGATCATATACAAACACAGCTACTACTATGTTGTCTAGTATTGTTCACAAAGAAGAATGTGGTGCAGCTACATGCATCACATACTCTATAATTCATAATCACCAATCATTAGTTCATCTATCTTGACCATCTAGTTCAAGACCTTGTCTGAAAACAATGCCAACTAGACTTGGTTCAATTACTTGACATTGGGTTTTTCAGAACGTCTGGTTATATTTTGAGCTGTGATCCATCAATCGAACAATTCAAACTGGTGATTCTGTGAACCATGTTACAGTTTATAGGTGGTTATGTATACTGTATTATGCAGCCAACCAAAGCTTGTGTTATATTTACTCTCTCTCTCTCTCTCTCTCTCTCATTCCTCTGGATGCATCATAAATATGATTGTTGATCCTTCCCTGTTTGCTTTCATTCAGGTAATGGGGGCTTTCGTGATCGCGGGAGGGGTTTTGGTGGTGGTCCGCGGCCTTGGGGCTAATAGGTCAAGAGGAAATGAGTAGCTATGGACATCAAATAGGCTGATGGTCTGGTTGCTTCATTACCTCGGGCTTGTATTTTTGGTTTTACATTTACTAATTGATGGCGGATTCCTCAAGGCATGTAATAGCATCTTCTTGATGTCTCACTTGCATAACGCCATAACCAAGTTGACTTCAACTGCTGGAGGGTTGAGGTCGGAGCTTAAATGTCATGCCGGAGCTTATATTGCAGATTTTAAGATAGGAGTACACCATCACTTTTTAGACTGAAGGAAACAGTAGAGCAGGATAATTTAATTATTTATTGATTTATTCCACTGTAAGAGTAGGATTGAATTAATTGGTAAATTTGAATGTTGAATTGTCGTGCCAAGGATAAATTTATCCCTGGTTTAAATACCATTTTCCGGGTGTGACGCTTATTTACATGGTATGTATGAAGACAACTGAAAGGTTAAAATTAGCCCAAAACCCATTATCAGCACGAAGTCCCTTGTTCAGTGTTTTTGTCTTTTTTTTGTGTTACAGGGAAACCATTATCACTTACTGCTTCTGATTGGGTACATACCTTTTTGCAGGTGGGACTGCCCAGAGAGAGAGAGAGAGAGAGTTTTTTTGGTAGAACACCATACCAATAAAAAAACTGTAGTAAACATGTATATGATTTTCCCCTCCCTGGCTCCCCGAGGACTGAGCAAACTAGAACTATGAGGATTATCAAGAATCCAGCTCTTCTTACTTCTTACCTATTCATTCGCCACTATTCAGAGCCCTATTAACATCCAAACTAGACAGAAAGGGGATAAAATTCACCATCAGAAATGTTATCAAGTCACCCATTTCCCATCACAGGCTCCCGATGATGGGTCAATCATGATACGGCACATTCTGCACATCAGCATGATGAGTGGGACCCATATACCATGCACAAGGAGATGACATGGTGGCTGTGTATTGGCTCAATGAATCCAGAGGGAGGGAGGGAGGGAGGGAGGGAGTACCTTATTGGCTTATTCGAGGGACAGTCTGGATTACAGCCACAGCCAAACAGGAGTTACAGTTACAGGACAGGACTCGTCTGCGTGGCAGAAATAGGTAGGGGTCAGGTCATCGTAATAGTCTGCGATTCTGCGTCCTTTGCTTGTGTAGTTCCACTTCTAATAAGTTGCCTCATTGGTGAGAATTGGGATCTGCTCCTCACACAGGGCGCCTCACACCGATCTTACATGCACATCTCACCATACATTGGCTGAGATCGGTGTGAGGCGCCTTGTGTGAGGAGCAGATCCGGTCTTGGTTTGAAGTTGATCGTGTATTGCAGTTAGCACTATGCAGCAGGTATTCAAGTTGACGTGTCGCCAGAAGATTCAACATTGCAACCATCCGATGTTTGGTGGGTATCAATCCGACGGTTTTGAACAATGTTTCCCTTTTGAGGTTGCCCGTTACGAGTGACAAATGCCTAACGACTATTGGATAATTAAAATGACAATTTTTAAAATATTACTGCGAAAAGAAACGGATCGGACTCGGACTATTCCAGTATTCCTGTTCTGGTTCTGGGAACGAACAGAAAGAGAGTCGCATACCAACAGAAAGAGAAAGAGAGTCGTGACAGAGAGGACTGAGGAGGCGAAAGAGCAAGAGATCAATGAGCGACGTTAGTCCGAAGCTCTACACCACCAAACCCAAAAAATGTATCCATCAATCAAAATTTTCTTGATTTCTTCCGGAGCAAGCAAGAATAATTTGCTTGTCTTCTCTATCTTTGTTTAAGCACTAATCAGTAATCAGGTATAGTTTATATAAATTAATTATTTAATTACAATGGTTGATTTTGCTGAGCAGCACAGCTGAAGCAACACAAGGGAAAGGAATTCTATTCACCCCCATCAATGGAGACTCCTCCTCCTCCCCCTCCTCCTCCTCCTCAGCCTCCGAAGGAATCGTTTGCCAGACGTTACAAGTTCATGTGGCCACTCCTCTTGACTGTCAATCTTGCTGTGGGAGGTTCGGTCTCTCTTTCGTCCTTTGTCTTCCATTTCGTTGCTTAGATCAATCATATAAAGATTCTTGTTTAGCTAAGAAAAAAAATCCTAGCTTTCTAGAGTTCAGTTCGAATATCTTCTATTCGGATTTACCTCCTGAATGTTGTTTCATTTGGACAAATATTCAGACATTGTATGCTCTGGTAGTTCCCATACGTCGATTGATTATGTTGTTCTCTGGCACGTGGATTTAGTACTGTTGATTTCTTGCTTATTGCTTGCATTTAGATTGTTAACTTGCTTTTTATTTTATTTTTCTTGTTGCTTTAGTTCGATATTGACTATGTTTTGGCCTGTCTGATGTTTTTACTAGCTTTAACTTCTTCTTCTTGAACTTTCATTAGATATAATGAAGGGATGTTGTTTGTGTAGATTATGGAAAGGGAACGACAATTTCCTTCCACTCTTGAGTGTTCAGTGAGGATGTTATTGAATAGATTAACTGGTATCAATAAAAAAAGATTAACTGATAATTATCAAGTGATAATTGTCACTTTCCCTTGTCTCCTTGATACCAGAAATTGCTTCAGAAATAAAGAGTTTGCAATGGTTATTGTGAAAATTAACTTTAAAGGATGGAAGTTCTTGAATGGAACAAATAATTAGTGCCTCCTCACCCTAACACTATATCTCCAGAAACAGAATATTGCTAGGGTTCATCAACTTCATGTGGTAATTTATTTCCAATACCACTGACTCACTTTGCCATTTAGTATTCATTTATTACCACATGAAATGTTTTAGAATTGGGAAGTTGTCGATTTTCTATCACTTGTTTTTCCAGTAAAAGAAGTTATATTACAGGTATAACAACTTCAAAGATGATTTGAGTTCATTTAGACAACCACTAAGTTTTTTAGCATATTAGCCTGCTATTCTTAGGATGAGGAACCCTTATTTGTTCTTCAACAACAAGATTTTGGTAATTGATATTACAGATCACTTCTATTGTTCTCTAGAAGTCAGTTACTGTTTCCATTTCATATGCATATTTAGATTAAAAACAGTTAGGAGGGATGCCGAAATACCCTTAATTTGACTAACCCATAGTAGAGAGGCTTGCTGAAACTTACATGATCATGCTTTGGTTCTTGCAATTGCAGTCCACATTTATTAATCCGCAATGTCTATATCTGATAACAGGGATGACAAAAAAATGTTAGCGTACAAAAATAAAAGTTAAAACATTATAGCATCATATTTGGTATAATCTGTATCTGTAGATTTTGGGCTCTCATTTCCTCTGTCAACCTTAGCTGTCTATGTCAATTACAAGGAGGTGGTGAATGTTGTAAGGTAGAAATTCACATGCTTTAATGGCTATAAGCCTATAACCGTCTACTCCATATATAGTCCATAACTCGGCCAATTTTGAAGGATAATCTGCACAAAGTGGCGATCCGTTCAGTAAAATCTAAATCTGTCTCTAACTGTTAAAATTAATGTTTGTTAAAAGAGAAAAAAGAGAAAAAATCTCATTACCCTTTAAATAAAAGTGCAGCGCCTACTATACAGACATGTATTTTTTTTATCCTCTGGTATCGATCCTTCTCCGCTTGTTAAGCATTAGAAGTTCTTATAAGATCCCTCATAGTAATAGAGAAGGACAGCAAAGCTATTTTATGACCTTCATGTTACCAAAAAGAGGGCAATGCTTATTCATTAGTATATATTCCTATTAAAATAAATTAATGCTAATTACAAGGTTTTTATCCTTTCAAGATGCTAATCACAACTTATGCTCCCAATTTAATTAGAAATGACAGTTAGCAAGTCTAATTTTTTAGAAAAAGTTACCCAATTTAATGAATTAAATAACAAAAATAATTTTATGGTAAATAGAAATAAAGAAAGAGAGCTTTTTTGCTTAAATTATCTAACATATCTTGATCATTTCTGTTTTATGCTCTAATAATTCATTTCTGTTCCATTCCATGGTTTAGTTACTAAGTTTCAGCGAAATCCTTTGTGAATCACAAGTAGACCTTCTTCTGACTAGCCACACACATGTTTCTACAGGATTGAAACTTTGCAAAATATTCTTTTCCAATTTTGCTGGGATTTGAATACCAAGCTAGCACAACAATTCCTACATTATTAAGTAACAGATTTGCAACATTACTTTTAGTTGTTATTATCACTCTAATCATAAATTCCATATGGTACTAGATCCTTCTTGACTCAATCCTTGAAACTAAACCTCTTGTTGAGTCACAAAAAGTAAATGAATAAATAGATTTTAAGGATCAGCTACCCAACCCTCAGTATACCCATCTCCTGACTCCTGCATATTTCTTCCCCCTAAATGCTTGCTAGAATTAGGGGGTGCAGTATCACCTGATTTTGGACAGCTATTAAGAATAAATATTCCATGTATGATGTGTTAATGTGGGGGAAGGGTAACATCATCATCATCTAAGCCTTGTCTCAATCATATGGGGTTGGCTACACGGATCCTATTTCACCATTCCATTCTGTTCTTGGGGAAGGGGGATTAGGGGTGGATTAGAGCCAAGCCAAGCAGAATATCTAGCTATTCGAGCTCGGCTCACCAAGGTATACAAGGCTCGAGCTAGAACCTTGAGCTCGAGCTCGACTTGAGAAAAAATGTTTTAAAAAAATAAAAAAAAAATTATATATAAAAAATATGTTTTATTTATTATTATTTGATATTTTTATTATATATTATTTTCTATAATTTTTATTATATATATATTATTATTATATTATATAATAATAATATATATTATTATTCGGCTCGTGGCTCCCTAAGGGGGATCACACACACACCTAAATGGCAATAGAAAATGTTGTTTTCACTTGCAATAAGTTTTTGTCTGCATTTGAGAGCAGGCTAGCTTGCCAGATTACGAGAGTTTGATTATATCAATTTATGTCATATGGAGGTTTATTGGGAAATATAAAAGCATTGATGTAATTTTTCTGGACTTTTGAGTTTTTAGTTGATCCCAGACCATGGATCCTCTATGACCTTGATGTTATGAATTTTTCCATAGTCCTCAAGATTATGACACCAAATACAAAACACCATTAAATATCTTTATCATGGTTGACTGGTATTCATAGCAATGATATGCTCTTTTCCGTTATCAACTCCCACAAGTGCTATGATAGTTGACCTTTTCTCAATTGATAAAAAAGATGACCTTTTCTCACATAGATCATTGCTGAAGGTAAGTAAAAGAGGGTTTAAACACGTGATACTATTAATGAAAAGTTGATAATAGTAACCATCTATGATGGTTGAAGGTCTCTGTGGAGTGAGTTCCCCACATGAAGATCTTTGGAGTTTTTCAGATTTTATGCTCCTACAATTTGTTTCCACTCCACACTTCTTTCTGCTCTACAATCTGATCACTAAGTTCCAGAGAGATCCTAACAGCCACATGTTTCGAGGGGGGGGGGTTGAAACATTTCCGCAATAACATGTTTTCTGATTTTTTTCAAGGGTATAGAATGTATGTACAAAGTATGCGTTGCTATCCCCTATAGTCAGTTTGTATCACTCAGTCCATTCATGCTTTAACCAACAAACTTGTAACATTGTGGTTATTCACAATGTTGAATAATTTGATCCTTCTTGAAAAAAACTCTTGAGACTGATCCTCCCATTCAGTGTGGCACCTCTCTGCTTAAAAAAGTAAATAAACTAATAAATTTATAGAATTCAAGGATCCCATTACTTAATCCGTCATCATGCTTAGCACCTGTACTTTCCTCCCCCTAAATGCTGCTAGAATAAGGGACTGCAGTATCACCTGATATTTATCCAAGGGAGCATTTGGGTTGCATGCTAGAATCCAGATTCTCTCCAAAATCAGATCATGAAGAGCTGGCATTTGCCACAGTTCTGACATGCTTTTCTTTTTTCACCATTAACACTTGTGGTTGCTATGATAGTTAACCTTTTTTTCTCAGATGACTAAAAGAATGATCTTTTACATATTGATCATTTCTTAAGGTAGGTAATGGGATTGGGAAACCACATTTACAATGAGGGTGACAAGGCCCTTGGACAGAATTGTAAACTGGTCTGCCTTTTGTTTTATTTGTTTATTCTAACACTGGTTATTCTTGTATATCAAACACCTGGTATTGTTGATGAAGAGTTGATAACCATAATCATCTCTGTTGGGTGGAGATCTGTGTGTCGAACAAACTTCACACATTATTGGGTCTAAGAAGAGATGATCACCATTCTTTCTTATTGATGCAAAAATAAAAGGAAGAAAATGAAAACAAAAAACATTCTTTCTTCATTTTTATTATTGTAATACTTACTGATTTTAAGAATTGTGGATATTTTTGAAGTTATTGTCTTTTTTAATGCATGCTTTGATAAATAATTCCATTAATTGTTTTGGATCTTAATATGATTATGTACTGAGGTGCATGTGGCCTTTGCAGCTTACCTTTTTATGAGGACAAAAAAGAAAGATACAAGTATAGAGGATGCTGAAGCTGTGGTAAATGCTCCCTCTGCTCCAATTGCAAGTGTAGGTGTAGCTACCCTAACTACACCGCAAATACCTCCACCTGTCCCACCCATTACAGAGCCCCCGAAGGTACTCCAACCCATCCCTGAGGATCAGCAGCGTGAGCTATTCAAGTGGATATTGGAGGAGAAAAGGAAAGTCAAGCCCAAGGATCCCCAAGAGAGGAAGCACATTGATGAGGAGAAGGCCGTTCTTAAACAGTTTATTCGAGCAAAATCCATCCCGACTATTTAGTGAGAAACCTCTTTCTGGAATCTGGATTAGTAATTTAGAGATTCCCAAACTTGGGTTCTGTGTGATGTTTGTTGTAATGTGCTTATGGATTTTTTTTTCTTTTTTTTGGGTGTGTATGATGAATAGGCAAATGCTCCTCCCTTTCAGTTAGTCTCCCTTACATATCAAATTTGCATTGTAGCTTCCTGAGCCTATGAAGAAGTATTGAAGTATGGAACCATAATATTGAAGTGACCTTTCCCTTCAGCAGACCAAGTGTTCAGGATTGCCTAATGGCTTTGTAGATGTAGTCATTTTGCAATTGGTGGGCTAATTTGCAGAGATGAAGCAGATAGGCTTTTAAGACACAGCTGGCCTGAGCTTTGGTTGGCATTGCTCTTCCAGTTGGCACCAAGCACAACACTCTGGCTCTATCCTTTTCATCATGCGGACTTGACACTTGACACTTGACATCAGATAGTTTTTTTAATCACCATATCGATGATTCGTTGGTAGTCTTGATGCTATGGTAATTGATTTGTGGATATTTGCAGGCTACATGGAATGATATCAATTCATTTGATTCTTTCTTCCAAGCAAATTGAAATCCATGCACGAAGATGGAATTCTCACCGGAAAAGTTGGGTTAGTCGTGGGCCTTGTAGCCCGGATTGCGATGAGAAAAAACTACAGCAGAACCATTTTGTTCCAGACTTCCGGTCCAAAGTGTCCCGAGTTTGGTCTACTTTGTTATTGAATCAGCAATGGGTTAACGTTCTTGAAAGTACACCCCTCGTTGTCGCGGGCTCTCAGATTAGAATTTGCTTTCCGATGATCTGATCAAAATAGATTAGGTTGAACGTCAACTGTGTCTGCTAACAAAGAAAAAACGATTATCATTCTGAAGATAGGATTTCTAGCAAAGATTCAACCGCATTTGGCATGATTTCAAAGAATTTAATTCTGATGAATCATTTTATGAGCAGGTAATTTCTGTTTAGTCGAATAATGAAATGGGTAAATTGCTAAAACCTCAGTGGAAGTTTTTGACTCTTGCTAAAGCCTTCATAAAGTTTGGTAATTGCAATCACCTCATCTGAACTTTGTGACATAGTTGCAAGTAGACCCCTATGTCAAAATCCTCTAACAAGAGGCACCAAAATATTTAAAATACCTATGCTACTCTTGACCAAAATGTTTATTTTTCTTTATGTTTTCATATCAATTGCTACCCCAAGTCCTTTCAATCTCTTTTTGAAATTGATTTATTTTCCAAGTTTTCCATTCATAACAGTTGCTTAAAGGTAAACCTACAACTTTAATTTCTATTTATTTGTTGCTGATAAACTTTGTATTGTTTTCTATTAAAACCAACCTCAATAGTTACTGCACTGATATTTTGAGCATTTTTGTGCCTCTTGTTAGAATATTTTATATTAGGGAATCTACTTGCAGTTGTGTCAGAAAGTTCAGGCAAGGTGATTGCAGTTACTACAAATTTAGTGTGGTCTCAACAATGGTTAGAAATTTCAGGGGAGGTTTCAGCAATTTACCAAATTTGAAATGGGCCCATATGACCACAATGCTAACCCAATACAAGAGAGTGAGACAAAAGGTGGGAGATTTGAGTGATGTTTGGCATTGATGATGATTTCTCCTTGCTGATTATTCAGAAATGGTGATTTCTGGAATCAATGATTTTTGAAAAATCATCAAAAAGCGTTGTTTGATATCATTTATGCTATATAAGCTGATTTTTGAAAAATCGGCTTTGAGTCAATTTTCAAGGGTTTATTATTTTTGTATTAGAGTTATTATTCAATGCCACAAGCCACGCTGGACTTGATGCCATATCATCTTAAAAAAATCAGAATCAATTAAAATTATGAAATCACCGAAAAAAGACTAATTTCAATAATTGATTTTTGGCTAATTTCCAGAAAACGGCATAATCCTCCAACCAAAAAAATCACTGACATATATAATATAATATATAATATATAATATATAATATATAATATAATATAAAATAACATATATACGTTATGCATAAAATGTGTAAGTTTAAATATATGCGGAATAGGCCGGGCCTAAGCCGGACTTGAAGTATTAAGCCTAAACCCAGCTCTAAAATTTATAAGCCTGATGTGGGCCCAAACCCGAACCGATCCTAAACAGAAAACCCAGACCCAAGCCCGAAATTTTCGAGCCGAATCCGACTGAAATGATCACCCCTCAGGTGCTAATTGGCGCCGATTTTTAGAAAATCATCATGGATGCAAACATCACCTTGGTTTAAATGTATTTGAGCAATTGAGCGTTTGAGGTGGTTAATTAAGCGCGTTGAAGTTGACGTGTCCTACTGTCCTTTCTCCCCCCCAGTCCCCACTCCTATCCCTCCAAACTCCAAACCACAGCAACCAACCACTCAAAAACTTCCACACTCAGTGACTCATAGCATCTTCGTTTTTCCTTCTTCCCATCCCAACCCAATCCAAACCAATAAAACCTGTGGAAAATTCAAAATGAAATTAAGATCGAAAGTAACAAGCATATCCACGACTGGACTAACTGCTCGTCGTCGCTCCTCTCTCGTTCTCTTTCTCTTTATGTTGTGCTTGTAGCTGCCGGGGTTGCTGCTGCTGTAATCACAAAGAATTTTCTGAAATGCCAGGAAACATTCAAGTTTCTGGTACTAATCAAGTTTCTTTTTCCGCATTAACTACGATTCTAATTGTAAACATTGATTACATTTCAACTGTCGGCAATCTCTTACGATTTTGACTTACTCCAGTGTTGGATATAGTGGATTTTCCATCTTCAACTTCTTCTTCGTCTTCATCGGTTTCTTTAAAGGGTCTGTAGCCCCTCTCTCTCTCTCTCTCTCTCTCTCTCTCCCTCTCCCAGGTGTTGGATGACCATGCACATTGTACTGATGGATGGTATTTCTTGCTTCATAGCCCAGTTTCTATGGGGAGGAGGGAATATCAAACATGGGACAAAGGAGAATTCACTTTGTGAGAACAACTCTCTCTCTCTCTCTCTCTCTGTGCGTGTGTGTGTGTGTGGCGCGCGCGCGCAAATTAACCGCAATTCATTTAACACAGCCCGTTGTTGACCCTCCGAGACAACTTGATCATTACACTCCTGGATGCCGAGGGGAAACAACTATCACGGACAGGTTCTATAATTTCTTTTTCTTAACAATGAATTGATTGTGCAGTTACTTATCATAATTTAGGTAATTTTGTAATGAATTGTTTTGATTCTTTTTTTTTTAGTTTTTTTGTTTTTTCCCCTGATGCAGTTGTGATTAGTATGCTTTTGGCAGGTATAGAAACCATGTCTATAGTTCAGAAAGGGTTCTGGGATGATTTATTTCCTCTTGAAGGGGGTGGAAAGCTGCACATGAAGCTGAAGCTCATCCTCAGTGAAGAGGAGCGCAAGAGGATTCACCAAGTGGTGAGTTTATTTGTTTTTAAGTCTGTCTAGCAATATTTAAGTATGTGCATTTCTATGGACGGAATTGTCTTTGACAATAAAAACCAGTTGCTGGATTATTCTCGACTAGTTCATCAGAACTAAAGAAAATTACAAAATTAGGAAATTGAGTGAATATCCTTCCTAGATAAATTACATTTCGTATATCTAGATCTCCAAAAAAAACATACTGCAATAGTTACGTTTAAAAGAATCATGGTTCAATCAATAACTTGTTGATCCTATCAAATGGCTGTGGTAGGGGGAAAAGCATTTTGTTGGCCCAATAATCAGCCGTGTCCTCAAATGAAAACCCAGCCATATCAAATCCTCCTTCTTGGGTTGATAACTTTCAAATTAAAATTATGAAACAGGACAAAACGTAAGACCAAAAAGCAAAATATTCAAAGAATACAGATGAGAAAAGCTGCAAAGGACCCACTCTAAAAAGGGGAGACAATAAACCTATACAAACCAGAACTGCTATGGAATAGCAGTTCTCCTTTAAAGCTCAGCTCGGTCTACTCCTGATTTTGCAAGGCTGTCTGCAAGAGAATTAGCAGATATATGCAAGCAACTGAACGAGGTGTTCACTTTAGCTTCCAAAAACACTGCTTCCCGTATATGATGATATAGCTTTTATGGACCTTCCTTCAGCCATTTTGCAGGTTTAAATGGTTTTGTACATACAGATGATCATGTTTCTCTTATATATATATATAAATCTATTAGTATTGTTTATGTAATGTCTGTTTCTTGTAGAGAGAATCTGCAGTGAAGAAGAAACATGCTGGTAGTAGATTGGTGCCACTGTCCTCATACCTCAAACATGAGGTTGCAGGTTCAACCCCAGCTTACCATATAATATGACAAGATAAATTGAACTGGAAAAAGATAAGCTAAAAAATGATTGATTTATGATTTTACATTGAACTTCTTTGAAAGGGTTTTTCTTGATGTGCTAGTCCTGCATTTTCTCAAGATTTGCAAGAACAACCTGCTCAAATTGAAGCTGTAAGCATTGGAGAGCGTCCCATGCTAGATGGTTTGCTATCAAACCCTGTTGATTGTCACAGTGATTTATCTGCTCCCATAAACAAGGAAGACACCACTCTTGATAAACTGGAGAGAACAACCCCAGTTATGGATTCTTCTCATTGCTACTTCAGTCTTGCTACTTTCTTGGATGGGAATCCCAATGAACTGGTTGAGTTTCACTAAATATTTCTGCATCTTTTCTGGATGTTACAGATAGCAGTGAAGCATGTCCATCAAATGCTCCATTGTCACTACAGCATAACGTCCTCTATCTAACAGAAGCAATTCAAAAGAATTCAGAGGGTGAAATTGAGAACCTGGCAACTCCTGATGTTCCTTTGAGATCTGTTCCTAAACAGGAAACTTCATATCCTCAGTTAAGATCTTCAGGATGCCATAGTACTGAAAATGAAAACCCAGTTTCTGCCTCACTGCACAAAGATGAAAGTCATGGCACCAATAAGGAGACTGCATTGGAAAAAACTCCTAGCAATTTAAGGAATCTTATAAGTGCCTTCGAGAGTAATCTAGTTCAGGTATCTTTTTCTCAAAGTTTTGCAGGACAAATTATTTTTCTTTCTTTATTATTGGAAAGTTGATATTCATTTTTATTAACTGATATCCATAAACTTGACTTAAAGCAGGAACAGAGAGCTCAAGTTTATCCATCAACAATAAAATCCCAGTCAAACAAGATTGACAGAGAAGATTATCATAATAATACATTTATAAGGGAAGCTAAGGCAGAGAAAACAACAGAACATATATATGGAAGTGGTGAAAATTTATTTTCCACAGGGAGGCCATTGGAGTTGACTCCACAACAAAGGCCAAACTACTTGAGAAAAAAAGTAGATCAAAGTTATCAAATAATTTTGGATTCAAAGACTGAAAGTAGACCGCTTGGGGGTTTCCCATCTCTAAATACCAGACATTTGGAATTGTTAGATGCAAAAACCAGACAGGCTGGAAAAACGGACTCAGATGGAAAAGATAAGTTCAAATTAAAGGGTAAGGTAGAAAATAAAAATGAAAAAATGATGTCTCCACCAGGATTACCTGTACCATCTGCAACAGAAACAGCTTCAATTTCAGGAACAATGCTTGAAAGGCCCGTGGTTATTCAGCAATCATCTAATCCATACATTGACCAACAAAAATCTGCTGTTGGTGTAATTTTAGATAAGGATAGATCTACAACCTGCAGAGAAGATTTGGAAAAGCTGAATGTGTATGGAGCTTCAAATGAAAAGCAGAAATTAGAAGTATATTCTAGAGTTAAATATTGTGCCTTTGAAGGCCTAAATAGCTGGCTGTTCCCAGATGAAGCAAGAAATTTCTGTGCTACAACTGGGAGTAAACAGATGATGGATATCATGAGAAACTGTCTACATGGAGAAACTCATGACAGGGAGATGAGTTTTTATGAAAAGGAAATTTATAGTGAAGTAAGCATGATTTTTATCCTTATAATATTTTTGAATTTACAATTGTTCTTGTTAGTTAAGCTGCCATGATCTTTAGCAGACTAGCTTTTATGAGAATGCTGTTGATTCAATGATACTGCTCCCTAAAGTCTGGCTAATAACCTAAAGATAATATTTGTGCAATTCCTACTGAAATCTGAATTGTCACGCTATATGCCCAATCTGGTCTGTTAACTACTTAATTAAATCAACTTCTAAACCTCTTTTGTGTTGGCAATTTTACATGAATAATTCCATGATTTTATTCTAATTCAGTTAAAGGATGGGCTTGCAGCTCTTTGTCTTCATTTCTCATTCCTTGGATATCCAATGCATGTGTAGTGGCACCCAGTTTTCCATTACCGAGTAAAATGTTCAGAAGTATCATAATGCTTCAAGGTACAAAAATAGATCTAGCATCTTCTCCAGTTGGTGTAATGGATCTCAAAACAGCAGATAATAGATGCAAGGTGCAACACACAGGCTTTGCACTTTTGCATTAAGTATTGATATGATGTAGGATGAGGAGAAAAGTCTTACTAGGGCGTATGTGGTAGGTAAAAAAGAAACCAAGGGGTTGAATTATGAGAGAGAGATTGAATCTGAAATAGAAAAGAGGCAGAGAAGAAAGATTGCACCTTTAGAGATAAAGAAATTAAAAAGGAGAGAAAGGTCCCACACTTACCTGTAGGTAACTTCAAACAAGCTTTTATTTCATTAATTCTCATTTCAAAATTTAATTACAATGGTTCTATCTATAGGCATAATATAAGGTTTGGGACCTCTCTTTATTGACTTCAATTTTAACTAAAAAACAGATAAAATACAACTCTTAATGCTTTTATACTAAGACAAATCCATAGGTAACCTGTAGGGACTCTCAAATAAGAAAAAACAACTATAAATACTCATTACTAATTATATTACAACCTATAGGGACTCTCAGGTAAGGATTCAAACTTCTAAAAGAACTCTAAATACTAATTACTAATTCTATTACAACTGACCAAACCAATAATAACTCCAAGATAGACCCAAAAAGATGCAAATATTTATATCCCATCACAGAGTGACACTTTCTCAATAAACAAAGAAAAATTAAAATCATAATTTTCTTAAAACATGAAGGATTTACAAGTTCTTGGTTCTTGTTGGATAGATAACTTAATAACCTGTCTAATGACACTGAAATCACACAAAATGGATAAATATCAACCCCTAAAAAAATAGGTTGAAAGAAAACTGACATGATTGCAGCGTAACTTTTAAAAATTCTAATGCCTCTCTGGTAAGAATTTTTTAAACTAGTTGACCCCTTGGGACATTCGACGTTATTCCTAAGATACACCTTCAAAATAACTTTAAAACTGAAATTGGCCAAGGGTTACAAAGTTGAAATTGGTGTCAAAATCTCGGGAAAGTTAATTTCTTTCCCTATGGATATTTTCTTTGTTTCCATGTCTCTATCATGGATTCATGATGACTTTAGATATTTTGGGGCACATCAATGACCTTTCTCTTATAATATTTAGTTTTTATGCTGCATCACATGGCACTTCTATTTTCCTCTTTATAAATAAGCAAGGCATCTCCTATCCTTAGCTTTACAAGAGTTCATATCTCTTGCTCTGTATTTTTCCCTTATTATCATTTTGAAAATTGTCAGCATGATATGCATGGTAACATGGATATCAAGGTGAATAAAGATGAGGGGACTTCCCACAATTTGAAGAAATCAAAGCCTAAGAGTTCAAGAAATGTAAAATATTCTAGAGGACTGGCCACACAGGTATCACTTTGTCTTCTTATATACTGAGAATTTTAACCAACATAATGACTTCTTGATATTTTTCTACAAAATTCCGTTTTCCTTTCATTTTGCATATCAATTTCGTTACTAGTCCAAACTGACCAGAACAGGTCATCGGATAGAAACGGAGTTTATATTTGCTTTATATGATACTAGCTAGATGGCACATGCATGTTATGTAAAAACCAAAGGTGACGTCTTATAAATTGTGAGCATAATGGTTAAAGGAAAATGACAATGCTTATTGTTAAGAAGGACAATGTCAGAATCAAAAGTAGTAGGAAAATGAGACATAATTTTGAGAAATATTTAACAAAGAATAGGACAATAGGAGAGGGCAGGAGATGTAGAAACCAAATGTTAAGACTGAACACTACATGTTGATGCTTTTTGTTTGTAAATGGATATAAGAAGCATTTTATTTATTGTGTAGGGTAATGTTGGGAATGATGAAGGGTAGAAACGGTAGAAATATTAGAAACATTCTCAGGCCAAAACTTTATTTTATATAAGGTAGGTGGATATGCTAATTACTACCTTCTTAATCTTTAACCTCTCTCTTATGAATAAAGGTAAAAAAGACAACTTTATATGAAGTAGGAAGAGGATGATTTTTTTTGTGTATTAGCCCCTATATTTTTCCGTAATATCTGGAAAATGCCCTGAAATTTGTAGATCAAGGTGTGTTGAAGTTTGCACAGGATAAGGACTATTAAAAATTTTGGTCCAGGTTATCTGGGGTCTTGGGACTGGATATGGAACTAACCTTTGCCCTTTTTTGCACAAAGTGGCTACTCCCAGGCTCTAACCTGTTTTCTCATGTTTGTGAGCCCTAGATTTTACCATTGCACAGAATGAGAAAAATGAATAATGCCTTGTTACAATGTTTGCTAAACAATTCATAGACCCATATGGGTGTATAAATTCCACTGCATGGTTCAAAAGTTTATTGGAACAGATATTTCTGTATCTGAGGTTATGGGATGTGGTTGCTGATAACAAAGATGCCATTATCCAATGTTGATTGCTAATAGCAAGATATTATTCTTCTCAGATTGAAGTATGATAAACATCAAATTTCAGTTCATGTATAAAATAAGCTGGAGTCTCTTAAAAGGATCTAGTCAGGAAACAAACTACAAAACCAGTAAAAACTTTGAAGGATAAGTCTTGACTCAGCTTGGCAGGTGCTAAATTTTCCACTTAACTTTTATTCCATAGAAGTATCTCAACTAATTTCTAATTGGTTGAATTTTGTATCACTTAGTGGAGATAGGTAGAAGAAATGTCATTTTATTGTAGTTAAATGCTCTATTGCAGATTGATACTCCTGTGGGCAGGGTCTTCAGCAGATAGATACTCCTGTGGTACTGGTACTACTTACAGTTAGTGCATAGTTGTCAATTGACGTAGAAGGTAATAAACAATAGGGTTAATTAATTATATGTACTCTGAGATTAGAGGAAACTACTTATATATAGCCTGTACTATCAAAAACTGCTTACATATACCTTTTAAGATGGCCTACATGACATAAACAGGCTCTCTGTTAATTAAACGTTTAGGGCCATTTATAGCTGCCATTATTTTTTTTAATCCCAAGTTTATCCTTTCGTTTTGAAAACACTGTTGATCTTATTCAAACTTCTCAAATGAAACCTTAGAAGACCAATCTTTCCCATTCTTCTGTGATATTTTCCAAGCACATTTTAGCATGGAGGGGTAATGGTGTGAACTATAGAAGTATAGATTATATCAATAGGATGGGAAGAAATGTAGAGAAAGTTCAAAATGGAGGAAGAGTGTGAACTATGCATCTATGGGAAGGTATTAGTAGATATAACAATGAATGCAAATGGCATTTTGTAGAGAGTGAAAAATCTGTGGATTCACTGATTCAGCTATGATGCTAAATGGAAGGAAGAAGAGGTACTCTGGATTACGTTTCAGAGTGAGGAAATGGAAGCACTGATTCAACTATGATGCTAAATGGGTGGTCTTGATTATGTTTTAGAGCGAGGAAAACATTGAAAAAGTTCTGAAAAAATGTCTCTGGCTCATCAAAGGTCAAATTCTGTTAAAGATTATGATGGACACTGATATAGTGACCTCGTTGACATCCTTAAGGACTGTAGCTAGCACCGCATTGCCATCTGATACTTCAAAGTTCCTAGAACCAAACTTTTCCCAATATTATTGGAAAATGGAGCACCCTCTTTCTTCTTTATGATCACATCAACAACTGATCAAGTATGTAGGTGAGCTTGTTGCACCAGAGATGGCTACTATGGCTGCAACGATGGAGTTATTGGAATCACAAATTGCTCAAGATGAGTAATGATGCATATGATATAGCAGTGCGTTCTTTTGCAATCTTCTTTACAAATATTGGTGGCTTTGTTCACCTGTATTTGGTTCCCCTTTTCTCTGTTATTGTAATTGATCACCAGGCTGTCAATGTGGTTACTATTGTCGGAGAAGAAGGGACCTCTGAATATGGTCCTCTACTTATTATGTTTGGTGGCACTATTTTAAATCAGATCAAATTATTGTACATAGATCTCTCTCCAAAGTGTCGTCGTTCTTTTGTACCGTAAAAGGCAAGGGCATGTTTTGAAAATTTATTTAACTGTTATGGACACTTTTTGTCCTGGGATGTTTCTGTTGGACTTAACATTTGAAAGTTGAACAAGGTAATACAAGTAGTTTTTGAAAGTACAGGGTATATATAAGTAGTTTCTTCAAACTTCAGGGTATATATAAGTAATTAACCATAAACAATATTACATTCACTTACTACTTACAGTTGGTGCATAGTTGTCAATCGACGTGGGAGGTAATAAACAATATTACATTTACTTCATGCAACATCTAAACTGATCAGACATAGAGCCATAGATTGTCCAAAACAGAAAGTTATTGAAGATGCTTATGGCCATGATTGGAGTATCTACATTCAGATGATCAAGTGGATGCACTATTATAAACTAAAGAGCCAAAATGCATGTTGTCGGACTCTGCATGAGTATTCAAGAGGTTATTAAACCTTTTTTTTTTTTTTTTTGAATGAGGGAGAGGTTAGAAGTGAACATAACAAATTATTAATATTCAGCAGTTATTGAAATTTGGAAAATATAATTGAATTTAGTCTGAATGACAACCTCCTATTAATGAAATAATGAATCATTATTTTATATATGCTATTTGCTCATAATGTCCATCGTTACAACTTATCTTTATCCTTCTTTGTAAGCTTTGGAAGTCGAGTTTGTTATAAGGAGCTTGAGTATGCAGAATATCAAATAACAAAAAAATAAAAAAGAGTATGTAGTATCTTGAGATAATCCCGTGTCTTGTACAGGCAGTAAAAGTCGCAATAATAGTGGCATTTGGGACACTTGTTCTTACAACCAGACAAAGAAAAACCAGGTTTGTATATAGAAATTTCTCATGTATAGCTTTCTTGTTTTTTGATCATAAGCTTGTTCCTAAGATCAAAATACAGACACATACAAAAATGATGTCTGCAAATGTCAATAACCACCCCCCCCCCCCCAACACACATATACAGAGAGATGAACACTTGCGTTAAGATTATTGCCCCATCTTTTATTTTGCTACATAAGCTGGTCTCCCTTACCTGTTTATGTTCTTGCAGATAAAATTGCTAGGTGAATTGTGGTTCTGTCATCCCAAAGAAAACATACCAGAGAGATCTAACCTCCTTTCCTTGGCATTTATTGCTCTCTTATTGCATATACCTTTCATGTTACAAATTCTTTCTATTTGAAAATTGTGATACAACTGTTTCATCAAGCTCAGATCTCATTGGCTGCAGGAGCATAGTAGGCTTTTGGTTTCATTGTCCTAATGTAAAGTTTTTCTTTAATTTATACAAGTGACAGTTTTGAAATAAAAAGGTGAAAATTGATACAACGTGAATGCTCAGTGTGCAAATAACTGCATGCCATGCCCATGCCATTGACATGTAATAATTTGAATGGCTAATTAAACTAATCAAAAAGGTGCAATTCATGTGCAGAAGAAAGCCTATGATTTGATAGCTTCTGTAGCAAGCGTGGTAGTTTAATTGTGTTCAAAACAAATGCCACTATTAACTGATTATATTATCTGATTGTAAATAGACTACAAATATATTATCTGATTAATCCAATAGTAATCCGATTCCGGAGTACTAAAATCGTGTTTGATTTTATTCTTTTGGACCGAAGCGAGGTAAATCTGCAAGACCTCAATCTCTCGTTCGGCTACTCAAAGGGACGATCACTTCCAGAGACTAGTATTTTTCTCTACGTTGTTTGATCTGCCTGCCGCTCATTTCCGCTTTTCATAAGCTCCTTTGCCGTTAAGAGAACTACTTTATCATGATTAAGAATATGTTTTGATATTCCATCAACTTGTACGGTATAGAGCGAAGAAGTAGAAGAAGGAGGTGACGCCGTTGCTACAACCTCTGAGGCCCGTTATAAGTCAGGCTTGTTCATAATTTTAGGTCCCAGGCTCGGGCTTGGGCCTAAAGCACCAGGCCCAACTTTTTTTTTTAGTCGGGCTTGGGCTTTCTTAGAAAAGTCCAGCCCGAATCCGACTTGATACTATATATTAAATAATAAAAATATATTTTATTTAATAAAAAATATATATATATATAATATGTTTTCTTTGTTCTTCTCTTTTGTCAAGTAATAGTGAGATGTTTATTATTTTTTAGTTTTAAAGGTTTTTAATATAAATAAATCACTTTTTATTGAATAAAAAAGAGAAAAATTCTGTTTTCAAATTTTTGGTCGGGCTTAGGCTCGGGCTCGGGCCTAAGTGTATTTTGTTGATATATATACAAGCCTGGCCCGAACTCGGCCTGGCCCAGTCCATGAACAGGTCTACTTGTACGGTATGGAGCTAAGAAGAAGGCATCGTCATTGCTACAACCTCTGAAATCCTGCCCTTGCTCGGTCAATTCTTAATTTGGATTGGAAAATATTAATTTGCCTTGCATCAAATTGATGGCGGTTCAATTGGTAAGTTCTTTTGCTATGTGTAGCAAAGACTTGGATTCAAAATAACTTCAAGTTAGGTGGTTCAATCGGATCGGGCAATATCCGAATTCGAATCCGATTAGAAAAAGTTGATATCTGAATTCGAATCCGATTAAATATTCGAATATTCGATTCAATTCGATTTCAAATTATTTATTAATTATTTTAGATAAATAATAAATATATAAAATAAATATTTTATTGATATAAAGTATATAAATATATAAATTAACTATATAACTTAATTATTATATATAAATTATATAAAATATTTTATATAAGAATAAATAATTGGTTGATTATCCGAATTCAATTCGATTATGTCGAATATCGAATTCGAAATCAGATTTTTGAATATCGTTGACACCCCTACTTGCAAGTTCTATTTTAGTTTACTATTTTTTGTCTTGCAATTTGGTTTCGAATTGCATGTGGATAATTCGATGGATTCAAATTCTATTTGTATGCAAAAATTGGAATCAGAATTTGAATGGTTGGTCTATTTCCATATTCTATTTGGTTTATAAAGGAACTAGCGGGGACCCGTGCGATGCACAGGATTTATTAAGCAAAAGCTAAATAATAGAAATGGTCATTTATTAAAATAAACCTTATAGTTTCATGGATTTACTAAAATCTACCCTATAGTTAAAATTTTACTAAAACACCACTTATAATTTGAAATGGATTTAATTAATCTTCCATTGGATGCCAATGGAAAATGACAGTGTTGACCCTAATGTTCATTTAAATAAATTTAATCACAAAAATAAAATAAAATGTCATTTTTGCCCTTTATAAGACACAGATAACCACTTTATTGGCTATATTTGGTTAATTTTGTTTTATATACAAAAAAAGTGTTAAGGGTATTTTTGAAATAAAAAATCATAGGCCTAAAGGCAAAACAAACACTCCTTAATGAGAGGTTGATTAAGTAAATAAGTTGTAAAATATATGGAATGTTTTAATAAAATGAAAACTATAAGCTAGGTTTAAGAAAATATGTAAAATTATAAGATGTGTTATAATAAACGACCCTAATAAAATCACATAAGAGTATACAATTGTTTTATATTTTTCAACTTTTTAAATAATTAATAATTACTCATATTTTATATACTACTTTTAATAAATTTTTATAATAGAAAAATAACAATAATTAATTTCAATTATGTTTATTCATCAAATTGATGTAAGCAACCAACCAGATCAACTTGACCCGAGTTGGCCGGTTTTCTAGTATTTTAGGTCGACTTTGGTTCAAAAATTTTTAAATTCAACCAAGTTGGACCAATTTCACTTTGGCCATTTGTAAACCAACCAAAATCGAATGACCTAACCATATATATATATATATATGTATGTATGTATGTATGTATGTATGTATGTATGTATGTATAATTTTTAATATGGAAAATTTCTTGATCTAAAATGTTTTATATCATAAATCTAATTTTTAAATTTTTTTTTTTTTAATAATCACACTATAATTTTTAAAATTAAATTAAATTTTTAAGTTTATGAGAGAAACTCTCTGCTACATTTAAGATAATTTTGGAGATAAATGAGAATTAGAGATAATTTAGAAGATAAATAGGAATTAGAGATAATTATAGAGAAAGTGGAGGAGAAGAGATTATTGGGAAAGTGCATTTTATTGATTGTTTAAAAAATGACATGAAATTAAAAAATAAAAAATTTAGAAAAAGGAGAAAACTTCTTAATCGCTTTATTTTAATATATATATATAGAGAGAGAGAAATTAGAATTCTCGCAAACCAAACGGGCCCTTGTGAAGAATATAATCGAATCGAACTTGATGGAGGGAAATCCTATCCGAACCCGATCCGATTACAGCCTACGACTACGAGGGACCTGTGCCGATTTGGACTTTTCTAGTATTCCCGTAGATAGCCCGATCCGTCTATAGAGTGCATGCAAGGTTTAGTAAAACCCTAACTCCACCATTTCTGTCTCCATCTCTGCTTCTTGCCCAAAACTCACAAAAATGGTTCGCAGTATCAAAAATCCAAAGAAGGCCAAACGCAAGAACAAGGTCATTGTTTTTGATTTTCTACGTTCTCGATCTTTCCCTTGCTCCTCCGTTTTTTCTTCCTTTGCTTTTTCGGTATTTTCCTCATTTGTGTGCAGGTAGTTAATTAGTTTGATTGTTTTTTTTAGCTCCATTTCCATATTTTAATGCGTGTAGGGCTCGAAGAAGGGAGAGGGGACCTCTTCTTCAATACCATCCTTGCCTGCGAAGGTATGGCAACCGGGCGTAGATAACCTAGAAGAGGGAGAAGAACTTCAGTGTGACCCCTCTGCGTATAATTCGCTACACGCTTTTCATCTTGGATGGCCTTGTTTAAGGTCTCATTCCGATGCATTTCTTTGTCCCTCTTTGGGTGCCTTCTGTCCCAAATCTCCCCTTCCTTTCAAATTAGGAATTTTAATTGTTCACTTTTGTGCGTGAATTCTGTTTTAACAGCTTTGACATAGTACGCGATGCACTGGGATTGGTTCGAACAGAGTTTCCGCACTCGTTGTACTGTGTTGCTGGCACTCAGGTACCTTTTGTTTCTTATTCGCTGTATACGTACTCGCCTTGGTTAGTTTGTTCCGTGGCTTCAATTTTCTCTCGTTGACACATTTTGATTATACCAATGAATTTCAAGCTATTGATCAAGTTCAGTTTTGCCATCTAATATTCTACAGCGTGGGTAGGAGCCATTGATTCCTTAATTCATTTATTGTTGATGATAATATGATATATGTGGTAAAAAAGTTTTGTTTTTTTCAACTTATAGGCCTTTAATCATAACCATAATTCGGTTCATTGAGGATAAGTAAGTCCAGATTGACTCTTTAGCTAGTTTACTGTTTAATCAAGGTTTCAAAATCTTGAGATATCACTATTATTCAACTAAGATGGCCAAGGTTTCAAATGATTGATTGAATTCTTTTTAATCTCTAAGAAACTGTAACTGTTGCCTTCATGTTTATGTGATTGTGGTATAGAAAGCTCATTTGAAGTTTTTTTTTTTTTGTTTTGATTGGTGTGCCTATACCTTGATGTAGTATTTCTTTGATGTGTAGGCAGAGAAAGCTTCCTGGAACTCTATTGGAATATTTAAGATATCTAACATTTCTGGGAAAAAGAGACAGTTAGTGCCTACTCGATCTGATGATAATGACACTGATATGGATAGTAATGATAGTAGTGACAGTGACGAAGGTGATGAAAATTATGGCCAAGGTGGATCTGGTCTCCCTGTTCTGCAGGTAATATTTTATGTGTTGTAAGACTTAAAGGTAATCTACATTAGTCACGTTACTGCAATAAGTGCAAATTTATTTTATTGTTGATTTCACCTAATGACAATGACCTTTTGTTTGTGTATCTACAATTTGACAGCTGCGCAAAGTTGCTCATGTAGGATGTGTAAATCGCATACGTGCAATGACACAGAACCCCCATATATGTGCATCATGGGCAGATACTGGCCATGTACAGGTCAGGTCTCTTTTTCTCTTGATATGTACAGAATTTTTGTCATTTACATGCTTTTTTACCATTTACACTGAGTGTGTCTGTGGACTGGGAAGAAGAACAAGTAGTGGCATCATGGAATCAGTTTTTAGGCATTTGGTTGTTGAGGTGGCCTAGTTTTGTGAGATGCAAACACTGAACAGTTGAACACGTGTAACTTACTAAATTAAACATTCATGTACAATGTTTTCAATATCTTCAAAGCCTAGTTTCTTAGGCATTTGGTTGTTGAAGTAGCTCAAGGCAGTCGTTCAACTAGTTATGATGGAGTGCCTAGCATATAAATCAAGCAACACTATCTGATATCTTGCAAACACTGCCAGAATGATATCACAAATTTATATGCAGATCTGGGATTTCAGTTCTCATCTGAATGCTTTAGCGGAGTCAGAAACAGAAATGGGCAAGGGAGTATCCAATGTATTTACTCAGGCTCCATTAGTTAAGTTTGGTGGGCACAAAGATGAAGGGTATGCTATAGATTGGAGTCCTCTTGTTCCTGGGAGGCTTGTATCTGGTATGGTCTTTTTATGAAGTTGAAATGCTTTGGCAAAGATATAAAATTTATTAACCCTTTATTTCTTGATTAAACCTTTCTAAGTCTAGAACAATGTTTTGAAAGGGGATTGCAAGAATTCCATTCATCTATGGGAGCCTCAGTCTGGTGGAACATGGAATGTTGATGCCAATCCATTTATTGGACATGCTGCAAGTGTTGAGGACCTACAAGTATACAGTCTAACACTATCTTGATTTCTACTCTAGATGTTTTGAGATTTAACCAGTGGGATTTTATTGCTGGATCTTAACGTTTTCTCCCTTTGTCCATGCAGTGGAGCCCTACAGAACCTCATGTCTTTGCCTCTTGTTCTGTGGATGGTAATATCGCAATATGGGATACTCGACTAGGGAAATCCCCTGCTACTTCTTTTAAGGCGCATAATGCAGATGTCAATGTTATATCCTGGAACCGGTATTAAAAGAGCGAAAAATACTTCATTCTCTATCAGGTCCTCTTATAATGTAATCATTTTTTGAATTAATATTTTTGAATAGGCTTGCTAGCTGTATGATAGCATCTGGAAGTGACGATGGCACATTTTCTATTCGTGATCTTAGATTGATCAAGGTATGAATACACCTTTTTTTGGAATATCAATGAGCATTCCTGCTCATAATCACTAATTGAAAATTGTGCATGACATTTCAGACCTATTCTGTATGTGCAATTAAAAGTTCTACCTCAAATATCATAATCGGGGTTTGACTTAAAGGGGCTCTTAGTTGCTGCTGAAGTCCTTGTTCTTGTTAGATGTGGACCATGCTAAAGTTGATTATGACAAGAATTGTTATTTTCATACAAAGAATCCCATTGGCAAGAATTGATTTGTGAACATCTAATTTCCAACCTTTTTTCTTGTTCTTATTTCATTGGAGTGTTTCTGTTTATTAGTCTCATGGTTTTCATACAACTGAACTAATTCAGCCTTAATCCTAACAATCTGGTATTGGATACATAAATCCTCTCTTGCCATTGTGCTTTATCAAGGGCCATTTTTTCAATTAAATTGCAAGTCCATGAATAGTTCTTACAACTTCAGACACATTTTATTCGGTATTCTCCTTGCTCTTTTACAGCCTTTTGTTTGCACCGAGTAACATTAGTGCAGCCATATTATTTAATACTCCAACTTTTGGTGTAATTTTAAATCTAATACCATATCCAGCTGTTTCCATGCCGTATCCAAGTAACATAGATTGGTTGTCCATCAGTCCATGCATTCAGCCAAACCATTTCAGTCAACTTTACCTCATATTGTCACCTATTGGGGCTACTCATGTCCTCTTAAATGCACTCGTTTCTAATTTTGTCCTTTTCTAGTATTGCCACTCATCCATTTTGGCATCCTCATCTTGCAAATTCCCTTCTTTTTTGCTTTTTTTGTAATCAATAAGCTCACTTTCCTCTAAAAAAATCTTGGCTACACTTATTTATTGAATATGTTGCTTCTTGATTTCCGAGCAATCTCTTCAATATGATATTGCTGGTCTTATAACTATAGCTGCCTTGCACCTTTCTTAAAAAAAAAGCTGTCTTATTTAAATTTTCCTTTATGTCTTACTAGTCTGTGTTGGTCGAGCCACATGCCAAATGCACTTGCACTCCTCTACTTCATCCACCCTACTTAAATTCTATGGGCAACATTTTCTCCATTTTCTCATTTATTTTGGATGATTGATCTAAGTAAGATAAAAAGTTTGTTTCTGAGATTCTTGTGACTTATGCTGTTATACTCTCTAGAAATCGTTGTACTATGTCACGGCTATGTATTCCCAAGTTGTCTATTTTTGTCCTGGCATGCAATACCTGTACTATTTTCCTATGATGATACTAATAGTTGTTCTTTATCTCTTCTTATATAGGAAGGAGATCCTTTAGTTGCACATTTTGAATACCACAAGCACCCTGTTACGTCCATTGAATGGAGTCCACATGAAGCTTCTACTTTAGCAGTTTCATCATCAGACAATCAACTAACGTAAGAAAATATCCTCATACTTTTTTGTAAAAACTAATACAACTGTTTTTTCGTAGAAAACCAGTTTAAGAAAAATATCTTATGGGCAAAACCTAAACTTAGGTCAAAATGACAAGGTATAAGACCCAGTAGGATGTAGTTTCTCCCTACATTGTTCAACTTCTAAAATTTGTTGGTTTGGTATTTGATACAGGATTTGGGACCTTTCATTAGAAAAGGACGAGGAAGAGGAAGCTGAATTTAGAGCTACAATGAAAGAGCAAGTGAATGCGCCAGAAAATTTGCCACCTCAGCTTCTTTTTGTTCACCAGGTTTACATTCTCCTATCTCAATTTATTTTGGATAATCATCCAATTCTAGATGTTTTCCTCTATTAAGACTTGATCTTTGGAATGCTAAACAGGGTCAGAAAGATTTGAAGGAATTGCACTGGCATACTCAAATCCCAGGAATGCTCTTATCAACTGCTGCAGATGGTTTCAATATCCTAATGCCCTCAAATTTAGAAAATACACTTCCATCAGCGGGTGCCTAAATTTATTATGCCTTTGTATACATTGCATGATTCCAACCAAACAAGATCTGGTATGTTTACAATGGCCGTTGATACTACTGTAGAACTTGGATATCGTAGCTGGGATAATGGATCTCAAGAGAATTACACTCTCCTAGATTCTGTCTCATTGCAAGTTGCACAAATTCATTTGTTCTTGTTTGCCTTTTGGGTTGAGCGGGAGATAAGAGCTGGGAAAGGTGAATCATGAACGGTTGAAGGGAAAAGGCGTGTAGCCGCTATAAAAGCCATGCAAGTCACTCATGGAATGTCTGAAGAATAAAGAGGATTTGGAAATTGATTATTTGATCTTTTTTAATTCTTGTCTGCAAATGCAGTTTGAGTTTGCTCTTAAATACATATAAACTTGTTTTTCGCCCCATCTAGCCATTGCTCGTAGTCTATATTTAGGTTGCGTTTGAATAAGCTCTAGAATTCGTGCTTTTAAGGTCGAAAAGCACAAAGTCCCACTGTTTTCTCAACTCAAAGCTTAAACGGAAGCTTATCCAAACAGAGCCTAATGGTTAGCATTATCATATTCAATTATTCATAAATGGATTTCACTAGTTGGGTAGAGTTGCTATTAACATGTTAACTCTGGATCACCGATAAAATGAGAGCACGGAACAAAGGTTTAAAAAAAGGGACTAAATAGTATGCATCCCATTTTAGACATGCGCCATGTTCATCATTGGATCATAACCTAGGGTTTGTAGAAATAAGGGACTGGAACCGGAATCAGAATGGTTTGTTCCAATTCCAACCGTTTGGTTGGCCATTCCCTCCCTCAAATCGGAATCTCATTCCCATTCCACTCCATATGAGGGAATGGCCATTCACCCCTTCTCTCTTGGGAATGAGAATTCATTTTAGCCGATTCCGACTGTGAATCAGACGGATTGTGAATTCAATTTTCAATTGATATAAAAAATTAATTAAATACTCCAAATCAAATAAAAAAATCCAGCTCAATCCAGCTTGGGATTTTTTTTATTTTGTAATTAAATTTCAATTTAAGAGATGTCAAGTTTTAAGGTCTATATAGAACCCACATTGTTCAATTCCTGATGTAGGGTGATTTGGCACGACTTGACGGGAAGGGGACACGTAAGCGTGATCTGATTGAAGAATGACAGTTTAGTCGGGCAAGCTCAGTTTGCAACATACGTAGTTCGGGTACTCAACCACATCAGCTCCAAACACGTCTTGGCCTAGAGGCACCTCGGGTATTCAGTCCAGTTCGGGACTGAAGAATCGAAGTTCCAGCTCGGAGCTAACGGGCCGAAGCATCGTATAACCAACTCCGAAGGCCTTCCCAACAGATCCCGAATCTCTTGGGATCACGATGAGCGGATCCTGAATCTCCCAAGGTCACGATAAGAACCTATCCCGGTTCCGCCTGAATCGAAGCTGGACAATAAGCCTCATCCACGTACCGCCCTCCTCCAAAAGTGGAACCAACCTTATCTCTACAGCCCAGGGAACCCCTAGCTCTTTCGTGAAGCACACGACTATTCCAGTATATAAAGACTCGAAATCTCAAGGCAAAGGTACGCATGATTACTCTACTCACTAGCACTCAAGCTCTCAAGCATTCAGCTCGCATTTATGACATACTTACTAACATAAGCATCGGAGCAACCTCGCCAGGTTAGCTACCCCAGGTTCTCTAGTAGACTGTTTTGCAGATCGATCCAGTTCGTCGTCCACCTGAAGTTTGAATTGCCCTCCAGCTAGGAGTAGTTAGATCGTGCACCATCAATTGGTGCCGTTTGTGGGAATTCGATCGAAAGGTCATTCCTATCTCTTTGCAGCTTCAAGCTCAACTTCAACTTCAATGGCATCCTCTAGCCACACCAGGAAAAGCGTCGAGATGAACACCACCGGGGAGCAAGCCCAGCAGCCAACCTTCCCCCAAGCTCCTACGGTGTGCATCGGTTAATTTACCATTCCGCTCACAGCGTCTGGAGTCCCACCGCTGACTGCACCACCGAGCACCACACAGGTGAGCGCCTCAGTGGTAGGTGCAACTTTCTCTGAGCCCTCCGTGGTTCCTCCCGGAGTGGGGCATTCCCAGTTCCACGACCTTGTTCAGTGCGTTCGTGCTATTCAAATCCAGATGTAGCAGGTCCAACAGTTTCAACAGTACCAACAGTATTACTTCTACTAGTAGTATCAACACCAGTTCCCTCCACTACAGCCAAACCAGTAGTCGGTTCCACCTTGGCACCTAGGGTCCCATCATAGTCATAACCCGAATCGCCTTGGGAATAACCAGAACATCAGTCGATCTCCTCATTGGGGTGAAGAGACCTCGCAAGTACCAATTCCTCTCAGAAGTCAAGTCTCGCCCCGTGGGAGGAGAGACGGTCAACACACTCCACCGACCTCGCAAGGAAATCTCAGAAATAGGTCCAGAGATAGTCAGCTGAACCCGCCTCGGCACTCATAGCAAGAGAATGATGGCTCGCTAGCAGATAACCAGTTCGGGGTTCGAGGTGCGAACTCGAGACAGGGCCTCTCCGTCCCTCGTGATAGCCAGCCCTAGAATCCCACAAGAAACCAAGATCTACCTCGCGACAAGGCTGAAATACCAGATCAAATTGAAGTCAGCAGTACCAACGCCGAGCCGGTGAAGAAGCAACAGTGGAGACGTCACAAGACACGCCGTACCTCGGTCAAGAACAGCCCGCCAGCAAAGCCAAGCCAGCGAGAAGAGCAAACCAAAGGGAAGGAAGAAGCGAGCTCGGTGGCTACAAAGACCCGCACCTCCACTACTTTGCCGGTCATTTCCTCTGTCTCCCGAGCTCTTGGCGACCCCAATGCCAAAAGACTTCAAGATGCCTCTGTTAGACAAGTACGACAGGACCTTCAATCCTAATGACCATGTGGACTCTTTCCAGTCTCAGATGCACCTAGCTGGGGCTTATGAGTCTTGCATGTGTATAGCCTTCTCTACTACCTTTAAAGGGGTAGTTCGAACTTGGTACCGGAACCTCGCGCCAGGCTCAATCAAAAGCTGGACGTAGTTCGCCGACTTGTACACTACACATTTCATCACCATCAAAAAGTGTCCAAAGTCCCAGGAAACTTCTCAATGTGGTTCAAAGGGAAGGAGAATCGATCAAAAGCTATATCAAACGCTTCAACTACACTTGCCTACAGATATCAGACCTCGACCCGACAGTAAGACTCACTACAGCCAAGAAGGGAATTACCCACAAGGAGTTTAAGTGGCATGTTGTGGCAAACAAACCGAAGGACATTACCGAATTCCTTAAGCTAGCAGATCAGTTCATTGGCACTGAGGAGGAAATCAATCAGAAGGTCCATAACCCACCACCGGAGAAGAGGAAGAGAGAAAGTGGAGGAACGGGCAGTGGCAAACAGAAGAGGAAGAAAAGCAAGTCCCCAAGCAGAGGAAGAAACAACTCTAGAAGTCGGTCCCCCTCACGATCTCGTAAATCAGGTCGGCGCTCCAAGACCCCACCTGTGGAGAGAACGAACTACACACCCTTGAATGCTAAAAGAGGAGAGATCCTAATGGCCATTAAGGACTCCTACTTCGTCAAATGGCTTCCCAGGCTAAGGGGAGATCCAACAGCAAGGAACCCGAACGTTTATTGCCACTTTCATCGAGATCACAGGCATAGTATAGAGAACTGTAGGAACCTTCGCGATGAGATCGAAGAACTCATTCGACGCGGATACATGAATGCCCCAAAAGCCAGCAGGCAGAACAAGCAACCGCCACGACAGTTGCCAGAAGAGAGGCCGATCCATGGGGTAATTAACATGATTATCGACGGGTCCATCATCGCGGGGTGTACATCGGCAGCCGGGAGGACCTCGGTGCGCGAGCTAGAAAACGAAGAGGAAAACCCGCCAAAGCGACCTAAGCTTGAAGGACTGATATACTTCTCGGATGACGATGCACGTAGGATCCAGTATCCTCAAGACGATGCCCTGGTAATAAAGCTATGGATCAATGACTTCGAAGTAAAGCGAATATTGGTAGACTCGGGTAGCTCGGCCGACATACTCTTTAAGAAAACGTTCGATAAATTACAACTACAGTAGAGCGACCTGTAACCGATAGACACCCCTTTGGTAGGGTTCAACAGTGAGGAGGTCAGACCTCTTGGACGAGTCATAGTACCTATAGAGGCCGACACGTGGCCAAATATCGTGCGGTTTGAGCACACCTTCCTGGTAGTTGCGACTCCCTCCCCCTATAACGCCATAGTAGGTCGGCCCATCATGCACGTTCTACGCGCAGTAGTATCCACCTATTACTTGGCGATGAAGTTCCCAACTGACTACGGGGTGGGAGTCGTGGGAGGTGATCATCTCGAATCGCACAAATGCTACGTGGCTGCTCTTAAAGGAAAGACGAAGCTAGCAGAAGATGTCGAGCTCGAGCAACCTGTGGAGTACACCGACGAGCGAGCTGCCCCAATAGAGGAGATAGTCCACATACCGATCTCTGTTGACGAACTGACCAAGACTCTCCAGATCGGTGCCTCGATCAACGAACTACTCCGCTCCCTGCTAGTAAGTTTCTTACTCGAAATTTAGATATTTTTGCTTGGTTCGCGGCAGAAATGCCCGGAATTGATTCAAAAGTTATAACTCACAAATTGAACACCGACCCTTTAGTCAGGCCAGTAAGGCAGAAGAAGCGCAACCTCACCCCGGAACGTTGGAGGGTAGTTGATGAAGAGGTTGGGAAGCTCCTAGCGGCAGACTTTATCAGGGAAGTCCACTACCCGAGTTGGGTGGCCAACCCCGTTCTGGTGAAACAGGCCAATGACAAGTGGCGCATGTGCATCGATTACACCGACCTGAATAGAGCATGCCCAAAAGATTGCTTCCCGCTACCCAAGATCGACTGCCTGGTGGACGCGACCTCAGGGCATGAGTTGCTGAGCTTCCTGGATGCCTATTCCGGTTACAACCAGATTAGGATGGACCCTGCTGATGAAGAGAAGACCGCCTTCATAACCGAGCTTGGGTTATATTGTTACAAGGTCATGCCCTTTGGATTGAAAAATGTTGGGGCAACCTTTCAGCGCCTTGTAAATAAGATTTTTGAGCCGTTAATTGGCAATAAAATAGAGTGCTATGTTGATGATATGGTCGTGAAAACCCAATTTTCGAATTTTCTATTGATATGGTCGTGAAGACCCAATTTTCCAAATAAGTGCGTATTTGGGTATCTAGTCCAGTTCGGGACTGAAGAATCGAAGTTTCAGATCGGAGATAACGGGGCGAAGCGTCGTATAACCAACTCCGAAGGCCTTCCCAACAGATCTCGAATCTCTTGGGATCACGATGAGTCAACGGATCCCGAATCTCCCGAGGTCACAATAAGAATCTATCTCGGTTCCACCTGAATCGGAGTTGGACGATAAGCCTCATCCACGTACCGCCCTCCTCAAAAAGCGGAACCAACCTTATCTCTACAGCCCGGGGAATCCGAAGCTCTTTTGTGAAGCACACGACTACTCCAGTATATAAAGACTCGAAATCTCAAGGCAAAGGTACGTGTGATTATTCTACTCACTAGCACTCAAGCTCTCAAGCATTCAGCTCGCATTTACGGCATACTTAGTAACTTAAGCATCGGAGCGACCTCACCGGGTTAACTACCCCAGACTCTCTGATAGACTGTTTTGCAGATCGATCCAGCTCGCCATTAACCTGGAGTCCGAATCGCCCTCCAACTAGGATTAGTCCGAATCGCCCTTCACCTGGACTCTCTGATAGACTGTTTTATCTTATTTGAATAAAAATAACTTCCCTTAGACCTCAACTTATGATCCCTTTAATAAAGTCATTGTGTTTAAAGCAATTTTATCGATAAAAATATGTTAACATTATTGGATCTTAATTGGTGGATCCAGATCAATATCCAATTGAAAACGGATCTGTTTTTAGAGCCAAAATCCATTTTAAAGTTAAACAAGTCGATTTTCGAGCTACGTAGATAATGGGACATCGTTGATTGACATATCATTTTGCAAAAAAGAGAATGAAGCACTCAAAAGTCAAAACACTAAGAAAACATAACCTCTGCCCACGTTTACAAGAACCGGGGGTCTAAGACGAAGAAACAAAAGATATGGATATGTTTGCTTGCTTATTTTATTTCATTTCTATTTACATAAACTTTCTTACTAATGCCAACTCATGCCTGACATATGCCATCTCATTGGCAATTAGCATTGAACCCAAAGCCTAAAGCCCAGGAGAAGGAAAATATTTGATTCCTACCCTGTTGGATGACATTGTTCCAAGTTACAACCAAGGACTTAGGATCCTTTTGGTTTAGGGTTTAAGAGATTCTGATCACAAGCCAAACGAACCTTTAAAGTTTAGTGTTAGGGATTAGGGATTTAGAGATTAATGCTTTAAGATTAAGGGCTTAAAAGTTAGATTTTAGAGTTTAAGGTTCAAGGTTTAGGGTTAGGGATTTAGATTTTAGGGTTTAAGGGTCTGTTTGGTTTGCTGGAATAGGGGTTTGGAATCGGAATCGGAACGAACTATTCCGATTCCAACTGTTTGGTTGGATGGAATCGGAATCCCATTCCCATTTCTGCTAGAATGGCATTCTTCCATTTGAGGGAATGGCCATTCTCTACTCAACTGCCCCTCCCTTATGAATGAAATCTCATTCCTGTTGATTTTAATTTTTATTCCCATTCTTGTCTGAATCAAACAAACTATGGAAATGGACCATTCCGATTTCGATTCCAATTCTAACTACGAACCAAACGGACCCTAAGAGCTTAGAGTTTAGATTTTAAGAGTTTACAGTTTAAATCCAAAAATCTAAGGATTAATTTAGTTCACAGCCGGAATCAGAGTGGTCTATTGTAGTCTGTTTAGTTGAGAAAGGAATGAGAATGAGAATTGCAATAAACAAGAATGAAATTTCATTTCCAAGGGAGGGATAGGGAATGGTCATTTCCTCATATTGGGGAATTTCATTCTAACAGGAGTAGGAATAGGATTCCAATTCCAGTCAACCAAACAACTGGAATTGGAATGATAGGAGCCAAGTATTGTCCCTAAGGGGAAAATAGTCGTAAAAATTCAGTAGGAGACCCAATTTAAAATCACGATTCACGACTCATGAGGTGACGGAGATGGAAAAGGCGCGCTTTAAGCAGTTTGTTTCATGTTCCCGCTATAGTGTTTGCAGACTACAATCCGGCAGTGCTTTTTCTCTGCCTCGAAAGTCGAAACCAGTTCTTCTTCTCTCCTCCCCTGCCTTATCTATATTGAGATTCGAGATACATCTCAAATAAGGAAAGAAGATTCATCTTTAACCAAAGGCGAAGGTTTGTAGGTTTGTTCTAAGACTACGATCCTCTGTCTCATTACTCATTCTCTGTGACTAAGGTTTGTAGATTCTAAGACTACTTTTCTTCGTTCGAACACTCATATTTAATTTCACTTTCGTGTGTTTTCTTCTGAACACCTGCAGCATTGTATGGCCGGAAATTGTTTTATTCTGCATCTGGATTCCGGAAGATACGTGAAATGGGGAGTATCCAAATTGGCATTTGTTGTACTGTTTAAATATTGTCACTGCAGATATTCATTTATTTACTTTAGGGAGCTTATTGCAAAGGGATAAAAGCAGGAGGCCGATCTACGAGCAACTGAGCCCTTGAATCTTAAAAGGAGGCCCTGCTGCTTCATGCTTTAGAAACTGAATATCTTAAGGCAGGGTCTCACTCAGCAAGTCCAGAACCTCAAGGTAGAATCAGAAAGATTAAAATCTGATAATAAGCAGCTTCCAAACTTAAGGCAAGGGAATGATCGGCTAAACATGGAGCTTTACATGCCAGGTTTATATTCAATTTTTATTGATTTTGTAATTTGTAATGCAAGTATCGTTATCAGATTTGTCATGGAGACACTGAAAGGCTAAAAGGAGAATTCTTTTATTAGAACTGTTTTGGTATGAGAAGGATGGTATTGACCTATTGGAAAAGAGGCAAGCAATGGAGACCTTGATTTCCATTGCACGTGAAATTGAAAAAATCTACTTGTCAACCTTGAGGGTAGGCTGAGGGGTGCTGGTATGATTTGTGCCTTAAAACCAAATTCATATAAAATCCTCTAATTATGATGAAATGTTACTTGATCACTTGCATCCTTTACTTGATGCAGAGTTTTCTTTTTTGAGAAATTTGGTAAGATTAGGTCACATGAAACTTCTCTTGTGTGAGGCATACGCAAGAAAGCCATGATTGTTGAAATATATATTTTACAATGAAGATCATCCACTGTTTTACTTTTCTCCATTCTTTTTCTGGGATACTAGGTACTGCTGCAAACTGCTATTAGGGGGAGACAGTGTTGGTGTAACCAACAAGTGACAAGGATCGGCTTTCTGAAGTTATGTCAAGTGGTGAAGAGGATGAAGGGTGTCAATAGACTGGTTCTGAATTGGATGCCATCCAAACCAAAATCAATTTGGACGGATTGAATGGACCAACAAGACATATTGAATTGGGCCAGTCCAGACTTATTGGTCCAAAGTATTTATTGGATTGGATTGGACTTGGTTCGTCCATAATGAATTTATATTGGATTGGGTTGGATTGAGCCAATATCTGGTCCATTGATAGAAGATAAGAATATAGGTGTCAATGGACCAGGTTTGGATTAGAATAATCTAAATTAAAACAAATTTGAACAGATTGGACGGTTCAGACATTGAATTGGACCGGTCCAAATGGTCCAAAATATTTGTTGGATTGGATTGGACCTGGTCCATTTGTTATGGACTCACATTGGACTGGATCGGATTGAACCAAATCCAGTCCAATTGACACCCCTAGATGAAGGTGTGGTTGTTTTTCCTATGACACTTGAGGAAATTTTGGAAGAATCAATAGCTAAGGGACAGAAGAAAAGAGGGTGGGATAGACCAACTACTTTTTCTTGTTGCTGGATCATAATGCTGTATTTTCAGGTTTTTTGGGATTTTCTTATCTAAGTCTGTTTGATGGTTCTGTGTAGCTTTAAGCCTTTGGGTCATTTGAGGGTTAGGAATTGGGTTCTCTAATTTTATTTAAAAAAAATCCCCCTTTCCCCTATGTGGATATGGAGCTATCAGTTCCCTATGTATAGTTTTATCTTTTGGATATGACTGGGCTGTAGTTTAAAGAAGGGAGAGCTAAAACAGGGTAGAATATGAGCTTTTGGGTTCAAGGATAGCTTTGTAATCAACACCAAAAAAAAAAAAAACAAACAAATGGATCATATCCACATGCTAGGGAGGGATTGATTTGTCACCTTGTTTAATGAAGAGTGTTAGAGATATATCAATAGTGGGTAAGTATGGGAGAATGGCTGACAAAAAAGAAGGAAATAGCTAAGGTGCTTGAAGAAGCTATTCGGTTAGTAGGGGATGTTGATGAAGATTTTCAAGAGTCATGGATCCAAAATCTTAACTTACCAAGCTTGAATAGAGAACATATCTCTATTGTTGGAGGAGGGGCCAACTAAAGAAGAGGTTCTTAATGTTGTGAAATCAATGAATCCACATAAAGCCCCGGGACCGGATGGTTTTACGACATTCTTCTTTCAGAAATACTGGAATTTGTTGGGGGAGGACATCTATCAATCAGTGGTGGAATTTTTTCCATTGTTAGTCCCTATTGAAGGAGTGGAACAACACAAATTTAGTATTTATACCTAAGTGCAAAAGCCCTGAATCAGCATTTTAGTATAGACCTATAAGCTTTTGTAATGTAGTATATAAAATAATAACCAAATGGATGGTGGGGAGGTTACAACCAATATTACAAGAAATGTCTCCCCAAACCAAGCTGGTTTCTTGAAAGGAAGACAAATAACAGATCACATTTTGCTAGCAAAGGAAATTATTCACAAGATGAACAAGAAAAAGAAAGGAAAAGGGTGGGTAGCCATCAAAGTTGATATGTCAAAAGCATATGATAGAATGGGATGGCAGTTCTTTGATGGCAGGGATGGGAAAAATGGGTTTCCCATAGAAATGGTGTAATCTAGTGCATCAGTGCATTAGTACTCCTACTTTTGCAATAAAATTGAATGGTGGTATTTTTGGGCATTTTAAAATAAAAAGGGGTCTTTGGTAGGGGGATCCAATCTCTCCATATCTTTTCATCTTGGGGATGTAGGTACTCTCTGCGATTTTGGAAAGAGAAGCTGCAGAAGGGAATATTGAAGGATATAAGATTGCTGGCTCAAATCTACATCACAGACAGAAAGATTTTAATGAGATACATGGGGATGAGAGCACTGGGATCCAAAGAAAAATATTTGGGATCTAATATCTATTCAACTTGTAGAGATTAACATCAGTTTAAAGAAATGGAGGAGACAGTGCAAAATAAACTGTGTGCTTGGAAAGCAAAGCTGTTGTTGCAATCTGGAAGGACAACTTTGATTAAGGCTGTAGCTCAAGCGATTCCCATATACACAATGTCAACTTCTATATTTCCATCTCAGATATTGAAAGAAATAAAAAGAAGACAAAGGGATTTCTGGTGGGGAAATGATATAAAAAGAAGAAATTACATTCAATTGCTTGGGACAAATTTTGCAAACAAAAGCACAAAGGAGGGATGGGTTTTCAAGAAGGAAGATAGATGAATTTGGCTTTATTTGGAAAGCAAGTTTGGACTCTTAAATGAAGAGAACAGTTTTTGGGTTGCAATGATAAAAACAAAGTACTACCCAAATAGTAGTTTCTTTGATGAGAAGCTCACAAAGCAAGGCTCAAGTTGGTGGAGGCAAGTAAGTGAAATGGTGAAAATTTTTTAAGCAAATACTTGTTGGAAAGTCAAGGATGGTTACAAGGCAAATGCTTTAACTAACCCTTGGATCCCCACTTTAGCAGGTAAAATACCAATACCAAATGCCACTTTGGGGCATTCACGGATTAGATGCATGGTTTCGGATCTAATAAAATATGATGGAAGCTGGGATATGGACAAAGTCAGATTTTTGATGAGATATCTACAATGCACATTCTTCAGGTACCCCAAAGCCGTAGGAATCATTCTGATACAATCTTATGGACTCAGAACAAACAAGGAAAATATACAGTAAAATCTGCTTATTTGGCTTTCCTACACCAACCACCAACATCATCAAACTCCTCTATCAAATGGTCCAGAATCTGGAGTACCAAAATGCCATATATATTTCAAGTTTTTACTTGGAAGGATTATTGGGGTGGTGTTATCACAAAAGATAAGGTAAAACATAAATACAAAGAAGATGACACAAGTTGTGCTCTGTGCAAGCAGCACTCAGAAAATTTCCACCACTTATTTTTCCTTTGCCCTTTCTCAAAAGATGTTTGGTGTCAGCTGGGAATCAATCCTGAACTGGTCGCACAAAAAACTTTGCGCATCATTGTTTGAGGAGTGGTGGAATAATCTTCCTTCCTCACTTAACAAGAAAGAAAAATATAATCTTTTTGTGCGGGTTTGCATTATCATGAGATTAATATGGGATGCAAGAAATAATGGAGTGATTCAGAAGAAATTCATTGACCCACAAACTCTGGTTTGTAAAGCTCAGCATTACATGATTCAGCAGGAGCAACAACAACGGGAGCAATTGGACCACAGTTAAAGTGTTCACTGATGGGTCTTTTGATCCTGCAAACTAGTAATGCTGGCTATGGTTTTATTATACTCTCCAATCAAAACTCCATTATTGCAATAGAGGGTAAAAAATGCAAAGCCAGAGGAAGTTATGATGCAGAACTATGGAGCATAATCCAAGGTCTCAAAACAACACAACAGTTGGGCTACTCCAAGGTCACTCTATTTTCTGATGCTCAAAGTATAATTGAGAAATTAGCAGGCAGAGACAATGAGCTCAATTGGCTGGATTGTATCTACATAGAGCAAATTCGGGATATTGCAGATACTATGGATCAGGTTAAGTTTATACATGTTAGTAAACATCATAATGTTAGCATATCATGCATGTTTTGATGAAAATGTTAATGTATCAGGAGGAAGTGGTGTACAACAATCCCAGTAATGAATGAATTTTATGCTTCTGATTGCCATAACAAAGTAGTGGGTAAGTAGCCCAACATGTAGTGGTTTTAGATTATTATCTGCAAGTTATTATTATTATTATTATTATTGTTTATTTTTGTGGTGTATTGAGCAGGACTTAATCTAATCATTCTGCCTGGCTGAGGCTGCATTTGGCACATTTGGATTGGTCATTGGTGGCACCTTCAAAGCTATAAACTCCCATCCTTGGAGTCCATGTCTCCCTTGGACATAGGGTATTAGGATTGGGATACAGTATTCTACATATTCTGCATTAACATTGCTTATAAAATGAATCGAATCAGCATAATCATATTATTTCGTTCTGACATTTTTAACTACTTGAATTATAGAGTGTATCTCCTCCGAGGCTTATTTTTTCCCTCTTGCAGCATGGGTGTTACAGATAGTGACGCTCAAATCGAATCAGCATAATCTATTTCCTTTTGGCTGGCCCTTACGACTGTTGGCATGAGGCATGACGCTCAAATTTTGAATGGGTAGCAACTAGCAACGCGTCTGATCCTTGAAGTTGAAGAGATATGGTTAGTGATAGTGATATGATAATTTGATCTAGTTGATCGACGGTAGACGCAATTTCTTTCATTCAGTGGTGGTTCTTAACTTTGGGAGGGCGGCTCGGAGCTGGCATAAATTGTTTTATGAAAGAAAAATGAATGGAAATTTGAAAAATTAACTTAGTGCACTGTGGACCATGCCATGCTGTACGTGGGACTTACCCAACAGGCACAGTCCGGCAGTCCGGGCTGGGGTCGGGTGCGTGCTGTGCTTGGCACGGCACAGCACTGCAATGTAGCCCATGACCCACATTATGTCAGGTTAGACCGGCCCATGGATATTTAACACGGGATGTGGGCTAAACTGGTCCATTTCAAACCGATATCGTATCCCATTTCCATCAATAACAATTGAGATATTCTTAAGGCTGAGTTTGGAAAGAGTACAAATGCAAATATATACAAAATAATGCAAAATATAAAGTTTTGCACTCTATATATTTGCATTTGTACAAAGCTCATTTTGGAAGGAGTACAAATACGAATATCTAGAGTACAAAACATTGTATTTTTATATTTTGTATATATTTACGTTGTACATATTTGTATTTATACTCTTAAGCTGAGCATCGTGGGTATCAAATCCGGACTCCTGCTCTGCTCAATGCCCTTAAGAGTTGATATTAAACGCCTCTGAGGACTAGTAAGGTAGTAGGTATTAGGTAAGTGGCTTGGGACCAGTGTTGAGCAAATGCATGTTACCTTTTAATTTAAGTGGTGAGCTGGTCCGTATTTTGCCACCTGAAAAACTGCAAGTTGCAGCCCCTGTTGGCTGTAATATAGCAAGGATTTATGTCTTACCAGACGTCACGTGCATCCTTCTTCAGTTCTTCTGGTTAGTGGTTACATTACACGTCAGACCGTTCCCGAGGGTCGTTGCCTCGTTGGATAGCACGCATTTTCATATAGGGTCAAGAGGCGCACGATGCGTGTCTCATTTTAATCGTTTTTTTGCTTTATGCACCGAATCACCGACACCACATCCTGTTACGTGTAGTGTAGAATAATAATTGAAGCCAGCTGCCAGCCCAGCCCTGTCCTGGAGACCATAATATGTCGTCAAAAACATTGGTAGAGATGTGGAACCAAGTCCTAAGATGTCAGGAGCTATGTTCTCAAGCGGCGTCGGTGCGTGTGCCCTGCTCCCGGTGTATGATGGGATGATATATTGGTGCCAGATGGCAAGATTGATATATAGAGACCCAAGGGGAACCCCAATATGAAGTAATGAATATGAAATTATAAATTACATTCCTACCTACTTGTTCGAAAAGAGTGGTTTACGTTACAAGTTCACATCAGCCTTCCTCAACGTCCGCCATCCCAGTCATGTATTGAGAATATTATTTCTTATATTAGGGTTGGGAGATGTTTTCAATACTCAGTTAGGATGTATTGTGAAACGTTGTGGGGTGGGGGCGCCTCCTTGTGGGGGGCTGATGTGAACTCTCACGTTACAACTAACCCATCCTTCATCTCAGTTTATTTATCATTGATGTTTAAATTTTGTGAACCGATTCAAGCCGTATTAGCTATTAAATGTAATTATTTAAATAAGTTTTAGTAATCAATTTTCAAAGTATTTTATAGAAAATTTTGTTTGACAAAATCATCTACACAACAGTTAATGATGCAAATGGTCTTCACGGTGTGGTGTGGTGTGGTTCCAACCACTCCATGGCGAAACTCAAACTCCATTAGGAAGAAGTATAAATACAAATATGTATAATATAAAATCTTATATTATATATATGTATACATTTATATTTGTACTCTTCTAAACTGACCTAACATTTTTGGGTGTCACGCAAATACAATGGTGATTTTGTCTTTAGACTCCCAGGTAAAAGAAAACCATGTCCCGATTCTGTGTTGCTTCAAAAAAAAAAGTTTATATTTACTTGCCACAATAAGAAACATTTCGACCAAGAATTTGTTGTGCCCACACCAGTCTCAATACACGTGCATATTTTGGCTCGTTTCAAAATTAATATTATTTTATCTTCTTTGTGGTAGGTGAGATCTATTTACTATTTATAGTTTATACCGTTCTTTATATATTATATAGTTTATATACTTTTATTTGGTATTTTTATGAATAAAATAACTCTTTATATTATGGGACTAAAGAAATGGAATCGCTCGACAAATGTTCCTCTAATTTTATTTATTTTTTTACGAGACCACCCGCAGTGGTAAGATTAACAGCTGGGTTAGATTTGGCTACAACACCATATGAATCAATGACAATTAATTTTAATAATGTCTCCACTAGGAGGGGACCATTTCTAAACCCTATTACACAAATCACTCCATTTAAAGAGCTTTTGCGTAAGTTGTCCGTCAAAAATTTATTTCAGTCACAATCTTGTTGATAAATTTAGATCAGATTTTCTACTTTGCTGAAGTTTATATTCATTCTGAATTTTCAAATATGATACAAAGAAAACTGATAACCATGCCAAGAAGGGAAGTTATAATTTGTAAATCATATCTGGTTTGCTTTAGCCATTAAGGCTCAGTTTGGAAATAATATAAATAGAAATATGTACGGTGCAAATATATATAAAATATAAAGTTTTGTACCCTATAAATTTGTATTTGTACTTCTTCCGAGCTGAGCCTAAAGGGGTGAAGTGTTGTGCACATTGCATCAGATGAATTGGGGATGGGGCAAAGAGCAGGGTGCATGTGAAGCTCACTAGCTATATCACAGAGAATCTGTGTTTCTCTGTATTTGACGACATAGGTTAGTGTTAATGTGTTATTAATGCATTTGTGAGATTTATATGGATTTTATTTTTTTAATATATTTATATTAATCCTAATTATTCCATTATATCTAGATATTATAAACAACATATAATATGTATTTCTGAAATTGTCTTCCTGATACTTTTTGTTGATTTTTCATGAAAACACAGAGAACATATGGAATTGATCCTGCAGATCTACAAGCTCTTAGGGATATGGCTAGTCAGCTCCATGTACACCTAAAGTCTACCATTAAAACGCTAATTACAGGTTTTCAATTTTATTATATTATTTTGTTTTATTATTGCATATATAAATAATTGTATACATCAAAATTCATATAAAATGAAAATTTAAGATTTTTTTTTTTTATTTTTTGTCTATTTTTTAATTTATGTTAAATTTTTAAAAAACATGGCTTGACCCGTTTGTGGCCTGGTCTGACCCAAAATTTGGCCCACGGCATGGCACAAACTGACCCCTCGAAATATCTTAGGGAGGGAAGCACAACCCGCACTTTGCCCAGGCCGTGCCATGCCGATCCAACACGACCCGATGCACTTTGTTACTTTTAGGATTTAATGTTTAAGGTTTAGATATGAAAAGACTTTTTTGGCTCACGGGAATGAAGGTTTGGAATTAGAATCTGAATAACCCTTTGGTTGGGTGAAATGGCATTTCCCCATTTAAGTGTAGCGATTCTAGTCTCTCCCGTCAGGAATGAGAATCTCATTCCAACTGCCCCTCCCCCCTAAAAAATGCAAATTACTTAAAAGCTTATTTTCCTATATCTAATGCGAACCATCTTTGGGAATTGTGTATATCTTATGGATTATTTCCATCTGAATTAACAGAATAAACGAATTGGTGATTCTAATTCCGTTTCCATTTCAAATTCTAACTGCGAACGAAACTGACCCGAATAAATAACATTTTCATTTGTAAAACTGAAAGTGATGGGATGCAACCACTTTTTGGTAAATAGGTAATTCCAATAAATCATTCACAAAAAAAAAAAATCCAACAAATTAAATGTCACGATACTTTGCAAAAGGAAGCATTCATAAATCATAATTTCTGATATCTGATTGGGAGAGATGGGGCGAATGGAGTCTATGGCATCTCATTTGAAGGAGTTGTTTTCTGGGTTATTTTCTACTATATGGCAAAAAAAATTTTTCAAGAATTGGAAATTCCTACCAAACCAAACGCATATAAAATAAAAAAATGTTTTCTATTTTCTCTTATAAAAGAAAAGAAAACCAGGCGGTGTTTGGTTTGTTAGAAAATGTGATCTCAAACTTTCTATTTTCTTGTTACCTTCTATCAAACCAAATGCGATATTTATTTCTAATTGGCCTTAGTAGAATTGTTTGTTACTAACAAATGGGTGGGCGTGCTGTACTCCCTGCACCCTAATGCTTCCTATTTTTTTATTTTATATAGCTGGATTACACAAAATGAGAGGTAGCATGTCCCCACAAATCACCAAGAAAAATAGATCTGCCACTAAGGGAGCTCCCTACACCTGCAATTTAATTTGTCACTTGATTAGCCTCTTTGATAATATGTCTGTATTGAACGCTTCTCTCCAATTAGTCCTTCGGCTCAGTTTGGAAGGAGTATATATATAAATTTGTAGAGTGCAAAATTTTTTATTTTATATATATTTATATTTGTACTTCTTCCAAACTGAGCTTTCATCTCCAAACAATCTTTGATGATGTTCCTTAGACGCAAAGAGGAAAGAGGGGAGGGGGAACTGGATCATTAAGAAATAAGATAATTAATTTTGAACCACCCTCAATAATATTTGAATATTCTAAAAAATTAACTACCAAATTATAGGCCTCCTAAGCTGTCAACACCTTGCAAGTCAATGAACATGATGCATCAAAATTAATTTTAGTGGTGCTCAGGTCGGGGTGCAGGGTGCCATACAATAAACTTCCAGGCTTTATCATCCCTTGAGCAATTAGGGATTTCTTTTAGTTTGCCATACTCCAACTAAGAATTTACAGCTCTATCCAAAAATGGAGACCTTTTTTGGTTTCTAATTTTTTTTATTGTATTGTACACAGATATTAGCAAATTATCTTGGTTCCCTAAAATTTCTAAGCACAAGACACAGACATTAATTCTGGTTTGCATCAAGACGACGAGAGTAGTATCTATCCTCCTCTGTCGTCGTGCATTAAACTAGAAATATACGAACCTGAACTGAAACACCCCTAGCCACGACCCACGAGGTGAAGGGTGGTGAATCCCGCCCGGCCTTTGGTGATTGGATCAGCTTCAATCGTGGGCAATGGGGCACTTTTGTCCTTTCAACGTCTACTACCAAGGAATATACGGTACCTTCTTCAACTCGCTTTTCACCAACTCAACTCGGTAACTCGGTTTTTGGTAGGCCCCGTTTTCCAAACCCTGCCGACTGCTTCTAAATTCTAGTAATAAATTTTCCAAGATTCCCACTTTGCATGCAACAACATTCAAATCAAAACTTATTCACCTTCTTTTTTGCTTTGGCAGGTAAAGTTGCAACTTTCTTTAATTTAATTAATTAATTATTAAACAAATTAGAATAATTCATAGTTTTGTGGGTCCCTCGGGTTCGCAGCATCACAGAGGCGGAAGTGGAAGGATCACTTAATTTCGAACCTGCTTCTCCCGTCCCGTTTCCCTGATATTTTAGTTGGAGCAACTGAAACCCAAGTGCCCGACACCGGCACAAACACGATGACCTGCCAACGAGAAAAATTCTGAACACAGAAACCTCGATCTTTTTTGCTTTGAAGCATCTGTGAATTCTGAACACAGAAAAAAAAAAAAAAAAAAACAAGTAGATTAATTTGTGAGGTAGGAGAAAACGATAAGTAGGAAGTGAAAGAGAGACCTGCCAACGAGGAATCTCAGATTCTTCTCAAGCCAAAACTAGAAAAGAAAAGAACGGATTTTTCTTGTATATATTTATTTCAACCCAATAGAACAAAAATCAAAGAAATGGGAGCGATAGTAAATAGTAGATAGAGATGAAAGCAAATTTGGGCCACTGAAACTCAATCCTCAGCGAGGCTACGCCTTCCATTCGTTTTGGGTTCCAAGAATTTGAAGCTCAGATTTATCTTCAGAGGCAGAGGTTGAACACAGGACATCTTCCCACACTTGCCACGTTGGTCATGATATCTTCTCTCCTGTCTCTCTTGGTGCATTTCTAGTGCGCATTCCCTTAACCTACGCACCCTTCAACCACCACCGTCACCAAATCTTGGATTGGTGAACTGTAATTTTCTTCATTTTCTTATTTATATATATTTATATATTCGTATATTTACACACTCTCCCCTGCTCTCTCTCTACATACACACACAATAGTCCTCAACCACCTCCCGGGGGATCCCTCAGCCTTGCGAATCATGGAGCGCGCTCGCCGACTCGCCAACCGGGCGATTCTCCGACGCCTGGTTCATGAGTCCAGGCAGCAGCAGCGCCATGCAACTTCTTCCTATTCTTCGCCGGCGTCATTCATTCCTGCAAGGTATTTCTCCTCTCTATCTCCTTCCGTATTCCCAAGCACGGCTTCTCGATCTGCCGATATTGGGTTCGGTCTTGGGTACCAGACTCGATCGATTTCTGTCGAAGCCTTGAAGCCCAGTGATACTTTCCCTCGTCGACACAACTCTGCCACCCCGGATGAACAAAGTCGAATGGCTGAGTCGTGTGGCTACTCCACCCTGGATTCCCTTATCGATGCCACCGTCCCCAAATCTATCCGGATTCAACCCATGAAGCTCCCCAAGTTCGACGAGGGCTTGACGGAGAGCCAAATGATCGAACACATGAAGAAATTGGCTTCCAAGAACAAAATTCTCAAATCCTTCATTGGGATGGGCTATTATAACACCTACGTCCCCAGTGTCATTCTGAGAAACATCATGGAGAATCCCGGTTGGTATACCCAGTACACTCCTTACCAGGCCGAGATATCCCAGGGGCGTCTTGAATCCTTGCTCAACTTCCAGACCATGATCACGGATCTTACCGGCCTACCCATGTCCAATGCTTCTCTTCTCGACGAAGGAACTGCTGCTGCAGAGGCAATGGCCATGTGTAACAACATCCAGAAGGGAAATAAGAAGACTTTCGTTATTGCCAGCAACTGTCACCCGCAAACTATTGACGTTTGCAAGACTAGAGCCGGTGGATTCGATCTCAACGTTGTCACTGCCGATCTGAAGGATTTTGATTACAAATCCGGTGATGTCTGTGGTGTTTTAGTTCAGTATCCCGGCACCGAGGGCGAGGTTTTGGATTATGGAGAGTTTGTAAAGAATGCTCACGCACATGGTGTCAAAGTTGTTGTGGCGACGGATCTGTTGTCACTGACAATGTTGAAGCCCCCTGGTGAATTCGGGGCTGATATTGTCGTTGGGTCGGCTCAGAGATTTGGTGTTCCAATGGGGTATGGAGGTCCTCATGCTGCATTCCTTGCTACATCCCAGGAATACAAGAGGATGATGCCGGGAAGAATTATTGGTGTCAGTGTCGATTCATCAGGGAAGCCTGCTTTGCGTATGGCAATGCAGACCAGGGAGCAGCATATCCGGAGAGACAAGGCCACCAGCAACATCTGCACTGCACAGGTTTGAGATTAATTCCTCCCAGTTAACATTTTGGATATGTATTATGAGTTCAGTTGTTTTCTGTGCTTGGATTGAAATAGTACTACATATTTACTTGTAGGCGTTGCTTGCAAATATGGCTGCTATGTATGCGGTCTATCATGGACCAGAAGGACTTAAAACAATTGCACAGCGAGTCCATGGACTTGCTGGGACTTTCGCACTTGGGCTGAAGAAACTTGGAACAGTGGATGTCCAAGGTCTTCCTTTCTTTGACACAGTGAAGATCAAATGTGCTGATTCAAAGGCAACCGCTGATGCTGCTTACAAGAGTGAGATAAATCTTCGGATTGTGGATGCAAACACTGTAAGCATGATTTTTTTGTGCCACTTGTTGATAAATCATGAATCTATACTATGAATCTGATTTGGATTCTGTTCTTTTGTCAGATAACTGTGTCATTTGATGAAACAACCACCTTAGAAGATGTGGATAAACTCTTCCAAGTGTTTGCTTGTGGCAAACCTGTGAGTTTCAGTATCTTAATTTTTTGGTGATGCTGATGATTCTCAATATTAATCAGTTTATTTTGTGGTGTAACTGTAACCTTCTTTTGGTATAACTTCCAGGTGACATTCACTGCAGCATCTCTTACACCAGAGGTTCAGTCTGTCATCCCACCAGGGCTCGTAAGACAGAGCCCATATCTTACCCACCCAATTTTTAACACGTACATCCCTACCCACCGGAATTCCTATTGATATTATGTTTTGTATTTTATAAACCAATCTGACTTCAATTTCCTTGAAACAGGTATCATACAGAGCACGAGCTCCTCAGGTACCTTCATCGACTGCAATCAAAGGATCTCTCGCTATGCCACAGCATGATTCCCCTGGGATCCTGTACAATGAAATTGAATGCAACGGTGGAGATGATGCCTGTGACATGGCCTAGCTTTGCAGACATTCATCCCTTTGCCCCTACTGAGCAAGCTCAGGGGTATCAGGTACTCAGAGGGCATCATCTGCCATGAATTTCTAATTTTAATATTGCATTTCTAAGTGTGAGACAATAAGCAATGGTCAACCACAACTGCTTAGATTTTATGGGTTTCTTTCTCTCTTAGGAAATGTTCAAAGATTTAGGTGAACTTTTGTGCACCATCACTGGATTTGATTCTTTTTCACTGCAACCAAATGCTGGTGCTTCTGGGGAGTATGCTGGGTTGATGGTTATTCGTGCATACCATATGGTAATGTGATGCCTTTCTGCATCTTTTTCCACTGGCGTGAGATAAAGGGTTTCTACAATTTGTACACATCAGGATAATATGCCCATTTGATAACAACTGTAGGCAAGAGGAGATCATCACCGTAATGTTTGCATTATACCTGTCTCGGCACACGGAACCAATCCTGCAAGTGCAGCTATGTGTGGAATGAAAATTGTTTCTGTTGGAACTGATGCCAAGGGAAACATCAATATTGAAGAGTTGAGGAAGGCTGCTGAGGCTAATAAAAACAACCTAGCTGCTCTTATGGTATGCATAATTTGTTCTGAAATTGGTTTTGGAATTTACCTTTAACACAAAACTTCTAAGAATATTACATGTGTAACACAAGTACCTTTTCTTTATTGAGATGCTTGATTGAATGTTACAGGTTACATATCCTTCAACTCATGGAGTGTATGAAGAAGGCATTGATGAGATATGCAAGATAATTCATGACAATGGGGGTCAAGTTTATATGGATGGGGCTAACATGAATGCACAGGTTTACTTCTCTCCATCCTATTCTCTCATGCTATATGTGAAAGTTGTAGACTTCATACATAGCAGGTTCATGTTTTTTCCCATGCGATGAATTTGATCTTTTTATCTCACTGTATCCTGACTGAATGTAGTTTCATTTGAAGAGGTTGCATGTTGGGTAAATACTATTCAGGTCATCATGCTTTTAGTCAAGTAGAATTTCGACCTGTTACAATTGTACTTGCTTAGGTCTGGATGGTAACTACCATTATTTTGGGCATCAATTGGTGCCTACTGACAATGATGAAGTATCATCCTTTCCAGTACAGTCTGTCACTTTCATTCTGTTTTGACAAAGTTCGTTCTTTCATTCCAGGTAGGACTCACAAGCCCAGGTTGGATTGGAGCAGATGTTTGCCATCTCAATCTCCACAAAACATTTTGCATTCCACATGGTGGAGGCGGTCCTGGCATGGGTCCAATTGGTGTGAAGAAACACTTGGCACCATTTTTGCCATCTCATCCTGTGGTAAGACAATTGGTTAATATCAAATGTTGTCGTGCAAGGGAGTAACCTCTAAACTTGGAACTGATTTTGGAAGGAATTTAATGTCCTGAAAAACATACTTGCTTTGGTATCCTCATGTTGTTTATCAATCATGCAATAGTTATTGAACTGATACAGAAAAAGGAAAATACAAATTATATTTCTGTTATGCGAAAGAGTAATTTCTAAACTATGAACAGATTTTTGTTGGAATTGAATGTCCTTGAAACATATTTTCCAGGGTATGCTCTTGTTATTTATCAATAATGCAATAGGTATTGTGTGTTTCTATTTTATAAGGTTGTACTTGACTACAAAGTACGCCTGAACTGTGTTCTGCTTGCCAGAACAGCAAGAATTTGAAAGAAATTTTTATTTCTAACATTCCATGCTTCCTGGATCCCTGATGTTTAAATCATTGTCAAGTGTTAGTTTTTGAAGTCAGGAAAAACTGGATCTTTTTGTCATGGTATAATGTCAGTGTGACTCCTTTCATGAGAATCTGATAATGAAGATCGGCATTGTTTATGAAAATAGGGGTAAAGAAAGAAACAATAATATCATGACATAGTTATGCACTAATTTTTCTGTTTGCAGAGCCATGTTAGAGACTGGCCTTCTGCTTTCTTAAGAACACTAATTCTTGCAGCATGAAAGCATTCCCTCAAATTTGATATGGAATCATCTAGAGAGGACTGGCTTTATAATCAGTGGATTTCCACTTTTACTGTGCAACAATACTGAAGGGGCTATTAGTATTTCTTGGCTTCTATTTTCTTTAGTGATTCCATGGTCCATCTTAATCCAATAACTGGAAGCTTTTAATTAGGATTTGGAAAGATAATTGTTGTTTGTATGAGTCTTCAATATTCTTATTTGAATAGAGGGTACTTCTTTGGATTTTGTTTTTCTTCTGTTGCCTTTTATTACATCATGATACAATGGGGGATGTTTGCTTTTACTGTCAATCAGCATGCATTTTGTAGAGATGCATTAGCATTTATCACATAGAGAGGGCATATAAATGCTGGTTAGTTCTAGGTTTGACACCAATTAATCAATTTGTACTGTTAGATATGAAGACTGATTTATAAGAGAAAAGTTAGAGAAACACAGTAGAATTTATTATCATTATTGATTAAAGTCACATATTAATTTATTAGTTACATGTCACGGAAGATATGTTTTAGAAATTATATATTCACCATGATATGTCTGTGTACCTCATCTTTAGTTAACTTTGATGAGAGAATGGAACTGAAAAGAACTATATCAAGTCTAATAATGACCTTATATGTAATTGTGTATGATCTGCTTCTTTTTCTTTTTTTTATTCATACATTTTCATTCAAGATGTCAATATGAAGGTGGAGATTTGCTTCACAAACTGTCCCTTGCATGAACTTACGAGCTGATAAAATGGAAACATTTGGTTATCAAGGGTTTGAAGTTCCTGGATTTTTTTTTTTTTAATTTCTGTAGCTAAAATGCAGAAGAGCCAATTCCAGATTCTTATTCATTTGTTAAAATGTTTTGAAGGTATCTACGGGTGGTATACCAGCTCCTGATAAATCCCAGCCACTTGGTACCATTTCTGCTGCACCTTGGGGTTCTGCACTTATTTTACCAATTTCCTATACCTACATAGCTATGATGGGGTCCGGGGGACTCACAGAAGCATCAAAGATAGCGATATTGAATGCAAACTACATGGCAAAGCGTTTGGAGGTCTGTAAATAATCCTTAAGCATTCAATTATAAAAAAAAAAAAATCCTTAAACATTCTTTCTTTTTTCTATCTCCAGTATACAATTTAAGATTTCAAAAGAGAATATGTGCTAAGAAGTGGTCTGGTTAACTGGTAATTGCTTTCTAAATAAAAAATGAGGCCAGTTTTGATTCATCTCCTTTTAGTGAAAGGCTACTTTCAAAGAAGGCCATAATAGGATTTAGGATTTTGCAATTAATTTCAAACTAGAGGTCTCAATTGTGCTTGTCACCCATCTTTACAAAATGCATGGGTGTGTATATCTTGTTGGATTAAATACTTGCAGATTTTTGCCTCCTTTGTGGAAAAAAAGTTGTAGATAACACTATTTTTATTGCAATTTCCATTCTTATGCTTTGGCATTTGCAGAACCATTACCCCATTCTTTTCCGTGGTGTAAATGGGACAGTTGCTCATGAATTCATCATTGATTTAAGAGGTTTCAAGGTACTTCATTCACCTCAAGTATTTTTCTTTTGGTGTGTGTGTTTGAGTGTGTGCCACTCATTCCTTTTCTGGTCTTTGTGTTTTCTTTTGGTTCCTGGAGTTAAAAACAAAATGATTGTGTTGTAGAATACTGCTGGAATAGAGCCTGAAGATGTTGCAAAGAGACTTATGGATTATGGATTTCATGGACCAACAATGTCATGGCCAGTGCCTGGTACTCTTATGATTGAACCAACAGAGAGTGAAAGCAAGGTACATCTATCTCGTTGTCCTTTTTCTTTCTTCTTTGTCTGCTTGAAGTAACTTTATTTTCTTTTTCAGGCTGAGTTAGACAGGTTTTGTGATGCTCTTATATCTATTAGACAAGAAATTGCTCTGATTGAGAATGGGAAGGCTGATATTAACAACAATGTCCTCAAGGTAAATAGAGTTTACGTTTGGTTACTAGTAACTAATGATTTCTATCTGAAAAGCTGTAGCATCATAATTGCATATTTGGAGACATTACTTGGACATAATATTCAGAGAGATTAACTGAGAACCACATGCAGGGAGCTCCTCATCCCCCATCCTTGCTCATGGCTGATGCATGGACAAAACCATATTCACGGGAATATGCAGCCTTTCCTGCTTCATGGCTTCGCACTGCCAAGTTCTGGCCTACAACAGGTACCAACCAATTGTTGGATCTTCATAACATATAAACCATTTTATATCAGTAATGTCAAGAGTAAAATAGTATGACCGTTGTTTTCCCATGTCTCCGTTATTTGTTGCTTGGCTTCATTATATATGAATTTGTCCAGTTTGGGTAGATTCTTAGCTCATTTTCTTGGTTTTTTTTATTTTATTTTTTCTGAACAACCTTTTAGCCTTCTACCCAGTCTATGACCAGATTTTCTTAATCTTTTGAACCTCTCTGAGGAGAAATTTTCATAACATAAAGTTAAGTTGTGTATGCTGTTTTCTCTTTTGAGAGTTTTCATGGATGCTCCTACATTGCTAAAGGTAAAGGGAGCAACATTACGGCGATGCCCATGTGGAAAATTGGTCTTGTAAGGATACAACTTGGGTAGGTTTGGCTGGCTAGATATCATCCTACAAAATGAAGCTCAATTGAAACTCCACTGGCATTTAATCTAGGGATGGTGATCCCTGATTCAAATTGCCAATCCATCCTTTGTTTTCCTACTCTTTATTCCAGGGCTGTGGAGTGAATGTATTCTGTCTATGTTTGTCTCTGTGGTTTAGTTAGTTTTTCAGTGCTTCTAATAATAGTGGGATTTGTTGGATGTGGCTTATCAGGACGTGTTGATAATGTCTATGGTGATCGCAATCTCATCTGCACGCTTCTCCCAGCATCACAAGTTGTTGAAGAACAAGCTGCAGCCACTGCATAGTCTTTGGCTTGCTACATCTGGTTGGAAGTGTTTCGACTAAATTGGAATCAACTTCATATTTCTTCCTCTTAAATGTATATAAACAGTCCATATTTGTGCCATTCATGTGCAGCTGCAGCTGCCAACTTTCCAGCTTAATATATCAGCTGCTTCAAAATTCATATACATTTGTTGCTGGTTGCAACTCAGGTGTTGTAATTACTTATCAGTGGCTCACTCTTTAGGATCTTGCATCATATCAAATTATCACTTCTAGTTTGGAAAGGGGTTTTTAAGATAATATACAACTGAAGTGTGGTCTTGTTTTAAATACGACAAAAGAAAAGAAAAATCATTTTCATCTTTGGAAGTAAAAGTTGCTTCTGTATTTACGTTGTCCATCCAAGTGTATAACATTTTCGAAGGTTTATCTTGGGCCTGGAGTTACATTCCACATACATGGTCTGGAACACCATTACTTTTGCCTTGCACATTGTTTTCTGGGTTCTATTTTAGTTGTAGATTCTTTTTTAAACTCAATATGAGTAAGGGATGGTGCTGCAAAGTGAATGAAGCTTTTATTTATTTGCCCAAAAAAAACGAGTGAGGGATGGTGCTGCAAAATGAATGGTGGGTGTTCTCCGTTCCCAATTGATTTTTGCCTGAATATTAGGTGGTCGTGGCCCTCTCTCTTAGGTAGCGGTACCACCTGTTGTTCTGTCAAATCTACTGTGTGGGATCACGACCAATTGTAGGCCCCGACGACCTCACGGTTCTGTAGCCCATAACTGTTTCTGTTTTCAAACCCGTCATTGATCTGGTGGTGGAAACGGTAACCGGGACAACCTACCAAAAGATGTTGCAGTGGGCGAACTACCTACCTTGAACTGGAAGTATCCAACTTGTAACCTAGCCAACATTGCAGTTTGATGTTGAGGTCGGATTTCAAAACACTGGGCTCCAGACTGTTGGCTACTTGGATTTGGATCTGAGATTATTGTCCGAGTTATGAGTCTATATCATCTATGAGCTATAGTGTCGCAGGGCTTGTTGAATGCTCACATTTTAAATTTTAAGAATTACTTATGAGTTGGCTCCATGTAAGAGGTTAAACCATGTCAATGTTCAATTTGAAGGATGATCTAAAAAATGATCTATTGTTAAGCTTAACTGGATAGGAAAGGGAAGCAAGTGCTAAACCGGGTCAGTGGGTCACCGACTAAGGTTCGAGGGTAAAATGAAATTGGTTGCCTGATTAGTTTCTTGGTCAAATGATTCGATCGTGATTCGAAAAACTATGATTCATACATTGAAGACTAACTAGAGAAGAAAACATATATAAAATCTTTCAGATCTGTTTCAATGATCTTAATCTATGTTTGGTTTTGACACAAAGTAAGAGAGAATAGAAAGTTGAGGGAAGTTCTCAAGGAATTTTGAACCAAACACAGCTTAAGTGTTGTCCATCCGTATTTGACATTCCTGAATGATCATGGGGTATGGGGTATGCCATCTCTCTAGATCTCACAGGTTATATAAGCTCAATAAAAGTCGTTGATCAACAAGAAAGGTTCAGTTTCAGAAGGCTTGAAGATGAATACATCCCTCTTCAGTCAAATAAGTTCTGAATATTGTTCCTAGATGTATACCTTCATGGATTTAGTGGCTTTGCAAGATGTCAAGAATAAATTCCAAACAGGGATGCCAATGGTCTGGGTCAACCCAATAGACCTCACCTCAACCTTTCCAAATTCCAACCCCATTAAATAATATTATATATATAGGATCGGTTCTGGGTTTGTGTTTGGGTTCCATTTGTAATTGGGTCAAGACTGAATTTACCTGCTCCGAATCGGTCAGGACACCAGCTGATTATGTAATCCATATATGTACACGACATAGATACCCCCAAGCAAAGTTCTAAATATTGATATGCCAGATATACTGGTAGGGGCGTATCGGTACTTTTTTTATTTTTTTCAAAACTGGTTCAGATGGTCGGTTTAAGGCTCCTCCACCTCCTGAACCGATCAGAACCCCAATACATCCTCTGTAGGGGCGTATCAAAGTGCTCCCAGTGCGATACGTGTCGATACTTTGAATCTTACTCCCTAAGTTTTATACATGTTTCTTGTGGCCTATTTGCACTAAATTCTTGGTTCTATTGGTGTAAAATTGGTTTGTCCATGTTGAAGCATTCAATTACATTAAGCTCAAGTTATTGCTCAGGTCCATTCAAATTTTAACAAATAAACAACCCAATCAAGCCAAGTTGCACCCGTAGTAGGTGGGATTTTAGATCCATTTGTTTTCTTGTTGGGTTTGGTTTATCTGACCCAGTCCATTGACAGCTCTAATAATTTCATCTAGTCTCTTCTATTGTCCTCCCAATTTTTTTTTCGTGGGGCGTTTTTGTGCTCATGGATGTTAGTTCCTTGCTTCAAAGGGATCTTAGACATTGGCGTAACACTGCAAACAAAGTTCTGTCGGGAACCATACCATAGAAATTTTCTTTTCCTAACTTAGAACCTTTGTGCAACATTGGCATTACAAGGTTGCCACTATCAAATGGACCCTAAGAAGATTATGTTTGGTTTGATATAAATAGAAGAGAAATAGAAAGTTGAGAGAAACTTCTCTATGGAATTTCAATAAAAATGTTTAGTACACCCATCCTCCCCATTCAATTGGCCCCATCTTTGTGAAAAGTAAAGCAAAAATGATAAGTAACTTGGAAGGGAACAATGGAATAAGGATATATAGACAGGAATATTCGTATGCCTTTCCCATACAGTACTACGAGTTTGGAAGTCTGGCTTTTAAATCCAAACAGGATTTCCTGCCCACTATTCTACTCACATTCTACCTGTCTTGAATTGCAGTCATACATCGCCATTTTGTACTGTGAGATATGCAGTTTTAGTGCACTGGGCACAGGGTATAGGTAGAGAAAGTAAGTAGGAAATCTAGGATTCTTTAGGCTCCATTTGGTTTGTGGGATGGAGATGAGAAAAATGAAATATTTCAAAAATATTCTTTTTTCTTTCATTTGTTTTGAGGGAAATAGAAGGATGGGATGAGAAAAATGTGGGATGTCAAATCCAAAAATTGTGGATTTGGGGTTGCACCAAAACCATGCGACCCCGGTGGAAAATTTTGAGAAACACTGTTACCATCGATGATGAATAGAGGAGGCAACCGGCGATGGCGAACAGAGGGAGAGAGCCAATGCCTTCCCCATTACCATTGGCAATCTCTTACCTCCCCTTCCCCGTTCGAACCCAAAAGTAGGAGCTGGTTCAGTGAGATTTCACCAACGACTCTGGTACTCTGGTGTACTTCTTCCCTCGCCGCTAATAGAGACGTTTGACAGAGGACTAACTAACAAAAAAGAGAATGGAGGGAGGAGAGGAATATGCGAGTAAGATTTAGAAGTGGAGAGAGATGGGGGTTCAGTCTGCTGGTACCTGTTAGTTTGAAGGTAGGAGATGATGAATAGTCATTCCTCTTCCTCCTTTTTCTTTTTCTTCCAAATAGGAAAATTAGGTTTTATTTTAGTCCGAATGGTCTGCTGCTACCTGTTAGTCTGAATTACTGTCTCTGGCGGCACTGTCTGAAGGTAAGAGATGATGAACAATGCTTTTCCCATTATTTTCCCATATATAAAACCAAACAATGAAAGTGTAAATTTGTACACTTTCCCATCCCATCCCACCCAAATCTTTCCACAAACCAAATGGAGCCTTAAATCATCTACTCCTGAGTTGGCAACAAAATCAATGGCTTTATTTGCTTCCCCAAAGACATGGATTGTTTTGGCTGGTTTCTGTCAATCTATGTATGTTTTGTATAATCTAGCTTGTGTTTTGGTACTATTGTCGTTTCTACCTTAATTTGAATTGATCAACACAAATTGGTGATAAATCTATATTGTCACATCACATATGAGAGTCATTTCAGCTCGAAGGATTAGACTTCACTTTTCTTGGCCAATTATATGAAAAAAAAAGAAATATCAAAAAAGGAAATATCAAATAGTATGCATATATCGAAATGGGATTCAATCACTGCAAGGCCCATTCGAACAACCATCACAGCCTTACATTGGGAATATCTCCCATGAAATACGGCATAGAAGTACGGAAGGCTGTTCGAACGGGCCTTGCAGTGATTGAAGCCGATTTTGCATATATCAGCTATAAACAGCCTTAAGCAAGGGTTGTTTGTCAAGTTGTTTGATCAACCCAAAATATTTCATTTCAGCTAAAAACAGCAAATGGTACAAAAGCACAACCATAATGAGGAGGAAAGGTTGGCTGTTTGGATAGAAAACGGTGTGGGCTGTTTGGAAGTTTCTGCACATGACATGTTACCCCACTCAGTTGCTTACTTGACTTTTTGGTTAAAAGAATTATAGATTGCAGATAAATCTTTTACCCCTCACCCATCAAAGCTCCCAAACAGTTCAGTCTGCTTTTTCCAAACAGCCAAGCCTTTCTTCACGGTGAATAGACCTATTCATGAACCGGGCTCAGGCATAACTTTTGCTAAAATTTTAGTGGACTCAACCCAAAGCTTTAATCCGACACAATATAAAGTCAGGCCCGAAACCTGGCCCGTGCCCAGGTCTAATGGTGAGTGGTTTGTTCACGATGGGATTCTCTATTTTATCGCTCAATTTTACTTGGTACTCTTCCTACATGCTACCATGGAATGTTACTTGTCCCCAAACATTTATTTTGAATGGAGACAGATGAGTAGAAGTGGACCCTTAATCAGCCACATTTTATCTCCTACCCATATACTACAGCCGTACATTGGAAATATATCTCCATGAATGATAATAAACAAATATGGGAGATACACAGCAGACGTGGGTAGATGTGGGTAGGAGACCCGAACTGCCATTGACAATGGACTACACAACAGAGTAGCCCTCCTAAGGCTCCCAACTAGAGACTTTACCAATAGGATAGCTGGCACATTGGAGTTTTATGTAATTGAAAATTTGAAATTTAACTCGGGTAACCTGGCTTCAACTTGCAGTCTTCTCTTCCCCTTGTGGCTGCTAATGCAATCCAGCAATCCTCTCTCTGCTTCTTACTTAACCTTCAAATCATTATGGACGGGCCTCTTAGATGCAATATTTTAAAAACCAACTTGGAACTGGAACGGCCACCGGGTTTGGGTTTTGTGTCAATGGTTTGATGGTTCGGTTTTAATAGACCGCCTATTCCAATATAGAATAAAAAATGGTCAAAACCATTGTTTAAGTCAAGCAAGTCAACGTTCTATCGCTTAGGTCAGTGGGTCGTTGATCAAGTCAATGGTTTTTGGCCAAGGAATGGGTTAAGGGTAAAATGGAACTGGTTGTTTGGACAGTTTTCAAGTTGAACGGTCTAATCATCCAAGTCAATGACTGCTCGAAAACCATGCTTAGATGCAACTACCTAATTGAAGGGGGCAAATCCACTATTGAAGTTAAAATCTGAACCGGATGCAAGGTTTGCACTCTATGTAGGGATGCCAATTTTCCCATCCCTAACGGGTAACCTCCCCAACTTGATGGGGATTGCTTTGACGGGGCAGGGACAGTGACGGGAATTAATAGGGATCCTCAACTGGGGTTTAGGGGTCGGGGATGGGCAATGAGGTCCCCACCCCGCCCCAACCTTGATTATATATATTATTTATATTATTTTTATATATCAAAATATATTTTAAAATATTTATTTATTTTAAATAAATTTATTTTTCAAAAAATACTATTAATTAAAAAATTTGAAAATCTGGGCCCTCAAGAGAAACCTGTCCCTATCAGGGATTGAAGATGGAGGACAACTTTTATCCCCGATGGGGATCAAGGTTGGGGACAGAGAATATGATCCCTGCCCCGAACCCACCCCATTGCCATTCCTAACACTGTCACATATGCACTCGTTAACGGTAAAAAAAAAGAAAAAGAATTGCATCCCAGGATTTTAATTCCTATTTTACTCTTCCCTAAAAGTCAAGGTCACATGCACTCTCTTTTACATGAATTGAGGACCACATCATTTTACTTCCTACTTTACTCACAATCTAACTCTGACATGCAATTTTCATGTTTTTCTTCAGATTCTCCTACAAAAACTGTTGTTTCTTTTCTAGCAGTTGAATCATGAAGGGAAGTTAGATTATTTAGATCAAAGTCGAAATGGTTTTCCTTTCTTTTGATCTTAATAGTCCTTGGAGGTGTTCGACAATATGGTTGATTTTGTTTTTGAAAACAAAAACAATTTTCACAACAACAAAATTATATTGTTTTTGTTAATTTTACCGATGTGGTAGTTTTTGTTAAAAAAAAAACACAAAACCAACCAACCGTATTGCTGAGCAAACCCTTAGTTTAGAGATTCATTCAAAAACCTATCTCAAATTTCAACAACCAAATGAAATGGATGACAAAACAATATAGATTTCTGTTGGTGAGCCTAAAGTTGTCTTATTTTATGCCAAAATTCATTACGGGGGTGTTTGGTATTGTAGATATTTTATAGATAAATTAGTTTTAGAAGACATGAAACTCATTAAACATTCTTTTAAAGCACAACCAAACTACCAAACGCCCATTACATGCATACTTCTTCTCGAATTAGTTAGTTACAGCACAAATGCGTAGGTAGGTAAAGTTGAACGTGAAAACAAAGTCCTTTTTGCGACTTCAAAGCCTAGAAAGTGTGTGTGGCACTAAAACTAAAAAGGCGTTTAGTGACTCTGTATGAGGTGGACATGAATGAATTTACAATCTAGACTATAATTAATTCAAAAAAGGCTACAAGCGTTGGGCTGATCGATCTAATGGGTCTTAATAGACCCAGCCAGCCTGCCTGCGTCTGGGTTCGTCATTGTCGATTTACTTCCACTAAATGAGTTTGGATCAAACTTTGCCAACCATTTCTTGTGGTTGTGGGCCTTGTGGCCGTACCCCATTTCCCCTACCTAAATATTAAACTCTCGGTCTGGGTTCAACCGTGGGCCTTAATGGATTTATGCTATAATGGGCATGCCTGGACCAAAAAGCTTAGAAGAGATTTATCCATTTACTTAATGATGAGTGATGATTCACCCAGAAATGCACAGGAATGAGGCAGCAATCCACTTAAAAAAAGAGAGAGAGAGAGAAATAAAACAGGATAGGAGGAATCATGGGGTTATAACAAACATGTTGCTAGTTTTGGTTGGTTGACAAGCCTTAATCATAGAAAGAAAGATGGAAGGAAAGAAGTGAAGTCAATTCACCTCACCATTCACAGGCTGTCTTGTTGCCATTTACCCATCACCTTCACATTCATCCTCTTCTTTCTTTATATATAGAAATACCAAATACCAAAGATGTGGATTCCACACCAATCTCATTATGGGTGGGAATGGGTAGGTCCATTTCATTCAGTAATACAAGAACCCTAGCTCATTTACTGCAACCCATTTTTACTGGGCCACCCTGAATGCTTATAATTGATGAATTTGCAAATAAACCCAACAATCAAACAAACAAGTTGGATGTGGCCCACCAAATTATCAATCCAATGCTGGTTCCATTCCCGACTCCATGGGTGAAGAAGGTCCAGTGGAAAATGGTGGAGGGTAAGCCCATGTTGCAATTTCTTTCTACAAATAAGAAGAGTTAAATTTATAAATTATTATTCTCTCTCTCTCCACTGGTAATACTTGGAGGGAAGGGGGAGCAGTTAATTAAATTCCACTGGGTGGAAGCCTGACGATGAAGGTGTGCGCATATTAAGAGAATCTGCTTTCAGGGAGTGGCAGTGGAAGTGGGTGTAGGTTAAGACTTAAGAGAGAGAGAGAGTTGGCAATTGATTTGATGCGACGTGATCAATGTCCAGGATGAAGCATCTACTGCGCAAACTCCACATCGGAGGGAGCGTCAACGAGCATCACAGGTTAGGCGGAAGCCGTGCTAACAATAGTCCTTCTCCGCCATCGTTGCCGTCTTCTGCTTCTGCATCTCATTCGTCGTCGACGGGTTCGACATTTGCGAGGAATAGAGTTGGCGATGCAGCCGACAGGACGACCGGTGCTGTTTCTGCTGCTGCGTCTGCGGAGAGTTCTGTTGATTTCAATTTCTTCGAAGAGGAGTTTCAGGTGCAGCTCGCTTTGGCAATTAGTGCATCGGATCCCGATGCGCGCGAGGACCCAGAATCGGCTCAGATCAAGGCCGCCAAGAGGATTAGTCTGGGCTGTTCTTCTGTGGCTGCTGATGAAACCCTTGTTGAGCTTCTCTCGCTCCAGTATTGGGTACGTATCTCTCTCTCGGTTTGTGGTTTTAGTGATGTGAAGTGATTATGCAGAGGAATTAGGGGTCAATTAACTGGAGTTATGACTTCTGGATCTCATTGATTCGCTTATTGGAGCTTCTTCTGTCTTGCATATTGAGTTGGCTTTAGTGTGTGTCTATGTTCGAATTGAAATTGCAGCTTGAGCATTTCTTTCCCATTGTATAAGTGGTTGATTTGGGTACAAACCAGAAGAGTTGAAATTCGGAAACTGTGTAAAAAGAATGTTTATTTGGAGTGATTTTGGTATGTTCTGGCAGATAATTTCTTTGTGTTTTCCGATCGTATGCATTGCCTATGTTTCATTATTGGGGAAAAGCAGCCTGAATTTGAAGCTTGATTATTTAAGGTTCACCTTTTCTGTTATGAAATCATCTCTTCATTATGCACTTGGGCGATTTGGTCCTTTAGTCAAATATGGTAATGGGGCAAGTGTTGTATTATACATTGACCTTTCTATAATCAAGTAATGACCAAATGAACAGGAGCAATTTTGCACAAGACTTACGTCACTTCCCCATTGTCTAGTATTAGCTTTTGTACAAAAATCATTTATTCCATCTTTCCATTCTATTCTATCTATTCCACATTCTTTGCTAATGCAATAAATACCAAATTCACATTGTTATAGGCATTTCTCTTTTCTCTTTAGGGTTTTCTGTTCTTTCAGACCAATACCCTCTATCTCTATGGCCTTTTGTTGCATATGAACAAGTTTGTCACTTCTTGGATCTCCTCTTCTTGTTCTAAAATGTTCCTCGCAAAACTTAAAAGGGAAAACACAATTTATTTACATAAGATTATAAAAAAAAATGTTTTATATAAATGATGGATATGCACATGAAATAAGCTGACCTATCCATCTCATCCAAACCTAGAACCTTTTTTTCTCTCTCCATCTTCCTTACCTGTCTCCTACTGTGTTTTCTCTCTTTCTTTATTGCCCACTTTCTCTTTTGAAGGGTGAAGATATTGTCAACTTCTATATGGGTAAACAATGTGGAAATTGCATTTTTTTTCTTCGCAGAACTACAATGTTGTAAATTATGATGATAAAGTGATGGATGGGTTTTATGATGTCTATGGCATCTCCACAAATTCAAATTTACAAGGGAAAATGCCATTGCTGGTTGATCTTCAAGCAACAGCCGTTTCAGATAGCACTGATTATGAAGTGATTCTGGTAAACCGTTCTGTTGATCCCATACTGCAACAGCTCGAGAGAAGAGCAGATTCTATAGCTTTGGAATGCCAAGCTGCAAAGCTTGGTCAAATTTTAAGCGGTCTGGTCCAGAAGATTGCTGATCTTGTTGCTAATACCATGGGTGGTCCAGTTGGTGATGCTGATGTAATGTTAAGAAGGTGGACAGCTAGAAGTAATGAGCTACGCAATTCGCTAAAAACAATCGTTCTTCCCCTTGGCTGCCTTGATGTTGGACTTTCACGTCACAGGGCTTTGCTTTTTAAGGTTGGACTCAACTTGCTTTTCTCACACACACATATGCACACCAAAATATTTTGGGTGTAATGCTGTAATCATGTTATTTACCTTCATTGAATTATTTTTTCTTGCATTGACTGCTTAGTAAATGGTAAGAGGCAATGAGTGTATTAAACCGATACCTTTTATCTCAAAGCTTGTACGAGTCATGTTCATCTATTCTAGCATTGTTGATGTAGTCATGCTGTAGATCATATCATACTTATGCTATTATCTTGGATGATTTTGGTAGAAACATTATAATGAGCTTTCTATACATTCTATAATTTGTGAAACAAATGGCCTTTTAAAGTTAATATTCAAAAGAAGCAAAATGTGAGCTGGACCGTTTTTCCATTTCTCTTGATCGCATGAATGCCCAATCTGTTTCCTTGTGTATAGGCAAAGCTGTTTAGGATATTTCTGTTAAATGTGGTTCCTTTTGTGTCTGGTTGGTGAGTTGCCATTATGTGACAATGCAAATAAGCTGGCAGAAGAAGCTTGAGTTGAAAAAATGTTGTTCAGAAGTAGTCAATGTGTCCAAGGAATCCCCATATTTCACATTAAATACACAACCTGGTCCAGCCATTTATCCACCCAGTTGCTAGACCAAATTTTATCAGTGATTTAGTCTAATTTACCTAGTCCTAACCTAAATTGGGTTGGGCCAGTTTGACTGATGTGATGCTGCATCATGCCTTTTGGGGGTCAGATTTTTATTTTCTTTTTCAATCAAGGAAGCCAAGAAAAAGAAAAATACAGCAAACCTGATACATGCCACCCACCCCAGAACTCTATTATTCAATTTTTTATAAGTAAAAATAAAAATTTTATTAAAGGGAAAAAGAAGTTACAGCAGGAGGTGACAAGTCATCACCCGAATACAAAGACCAAAATTCAGATTAAGAACATACTCCACAATGCTAGAGGAAGCTTGCAGGACAACCAGAAGTTAAGATAGATATTGTAAGACTGAGACTTCCAGTTTTCACTCAATGCTATTTCTACCCACTTGGAAGTTAAAATAATGCCCACCTTTTCTTAGTTAGAAGGGAATTTTATTGAAAACGATAAAGTGTGATACCTAAAGAACACTCCATGACAGGCCATACTTTCCCAGAACTGGAAATTGGATTGTGACTGGTGGATTTCAAAGTTGGAGAGGCTCCGGAATGCTTAAGTTCAAAAGATATGAATATATGAATATGGGTATGTTTATGCAAATGAGAAATCATGCATGTAATATTATATATGTTACTTGTATATCTTTTGGTGAACCAACTTTAGTAGGAAGGAATTTATGGTTTCCAGATTTTATCAGTTGTAATTCATTCATTTGGTTCAAAGTTGTCTAAGGCAGTTTTGACCAGAATAAGCCCCCAACTTAGACAGTTTGGGCACCAAGGGCAGGATACTAGGCCAGAGAAACCAGCGGCTATGAAAAAGACAAAAAAGCAGCCACAACCAAACTAGTTACATAGAGAAAAGGATCAAAGCTTTTTAGATCTTATTTCTCTGCTCTTTGCATGGGAATCAAATGAGGAATGGGTTATCTTAGTCATCTGTTGCAAGTAGATGTTCAACCTAGATGCCAATACCTAGTTTCTTTGATGAACTAAAAGTACTTCCATATTTCCATAAACCACGCAACAAATTTTTTATACTAAAGTAAAACTTTGTATTAAAAAGAAAAAAAATAAGAACAAAAACTGTGCAAGCTTTGTGGCCCAAGCAGAATCTACCAGAAACTGCAAGATGTAACTACAAGCGAACACCAAGAGACTACCTGCTTATTACAGTCAAAGCTAATCCCAAATTCCCACATACAATCCCACAACTGACCTGTAGACCCTGAACAAATCTATTTCTTACCTCTGCCATTTTTGCTCTGCCTCTAGTGCTTCTATTAGATCCTCTTAGGGATTTAGGTGGAAATTCCATTTCCTTTCAACATATCAACCTCTCTCTCTCTCTGCTTCTCCCTCTACTGATGCCCAGTTCCTTCCAGGTTTTCTTGTCAGTCTTGTGAATTGCATGACCAGTGCTGTCTACTTTTTTTTTTTTTTGATAAATAACAACCAGTGCTGTCTACTCCTTCACTTGCTAACCTTTTTAGCCATACAATGCCAATAGGAAAGTCAACCTCTGCTTAAATAGCCTATCCAAGTTTAGGGGGTTACAGAGACATGACCTTAAAGAAGGGCAAGGACCTGATGGAACACCAAAATATACTAGTAAGAAAGGTGGATTATTTTGTAGGTTCCATATGATTCATTGGTCCCACTTCATCAGATGCATGAAAAAGTTTCTATGTGATGCAACTGTATTAGATCCATCCAGCCCCTTTAGCTGTCAACATTTGTAAAATATTCTCTTTTGGAAATTTGGGAGAAAAAAAAAACTCTGCCTTGAAGCTGTCCATAGAATAATCTTAATTGGTTGCCAAGTTTAACTATCCTCCCTAATTATCAAAAAATAAAAGTTTAGCTGTCCTCCCTAATTATCAAAAAAAAAAAAAAGTTTAGCTATTCTCCCCCTTTGTACATTTTACAAATTTTCACCTTGGGGAATCAATCCCCAATACAATGATTTCTCTTTGCTCCCTGTTTGATTAAACTCTCAGCCACGGTGTTGGCCGATGTTGAAGTCTATCTGTAAGTTGTTTCCTGCTCCATAGTCAGCCCAAGTTTCACTCTCATTGAACAAGGAAAGAAAGAAGTGGACAATTTCCATCTAGTGAACTCTTCATTCCTTTTTGTTCCAAGATCAGCCAGCTCCATAGCAGTTAGCATAGCAAAGTGGTTGTGACAAGAATTGAGCTTTGTCAGGGAAATTCATCAGTTTAATAAGGATATTTATGTTTTCTAGAGGGGATCCAGTAGGTTTTAGAAGATGTTGTTATGATGGTTTCTCTAATTTTTCTTATTTACCTTGCATCAATGCAATATACTTATTATTTCTTATAAAACAATGCAATCAGGCAGAGCACAAATTTGCATGGTTGGAATGACGAACTTCTTTTAGTTTTCTTTATTGTCTTTTGGTTTAAATCCAGTCAAATAAACGGATTTATTCATTTATCCATCAGTAAAGAAGCATGTTGTTGTCATCTGAGAATAACTAAATTGTGGAAAAAAAGAACAATAAATGATGAATTTAATTGAACTGCCTCTTCTTTTCTTAGTGCTCATACATGAGAGATCATTCAAATTAATAGATGATGAAATGAAAGAAAGCTCTTAAGAAGAAGTAGATAATTGTTTCCTCTGGAATTCCTTGTGGTTTTTGTTATGTTTTTGGTTGGTCACGTTTGGTGCTCTGTTTTATTTTTTTTAGTTGGTAAAAGGGTCTATTTATTATTGTCTGTTTTTTTTTTTGATCTTGCATAAGTAGAAGTTTGTATGGGGAATTTATAGGTGTTTTTCTTCTCTCTCGGATGACTTCTGGTAACCTTTCCTGTAGTCTTCTTTTTTAATAAATTTTGTTTTATTGCCAAAAAAATCACTCAAATTAATAAGATTTCTGATTATTTTACATATTTATGATCCTTTTGGTGACTTTTTCAACAAAAGCATTGAATGGCTCCATACTTCTCGTGATAGGTACTAGCTGATCGGATCAATCTTCCATGTAGGCTAGTGAAAGGGAGCTACTATACGGGTACTGATGAGGGAGCTGTGAACTTGATTAAAATTGATTATGAAAGGTGATGTCTCTTTCTGTTACTAACTGGCACTTCAAACCATTCATGATAATTATCTGCCTTATCTTACCAATGTGGGATTAGTGGTGATGTCTCATCATCAACTAATGGTACCAACTAGTCATAATTATTTCTACCTTACCCCACCAATGTTGGGCCAGAAGCATGAATCCTGTCCTTCATTGTTGCATCAATATAATGTTTCTTAGTACTAATTTTTAGGAACTATTTTTGTGGTGGTAGTATAAGTGGGTTAGAAGCTGTAATGTATTCTGTTTGTTGTTTCAACTTCCTCTACTAGGGGTTGACTTCTGTACTTTAAAAGTTCTTTAATGAAGTTGGCATTTCCAATAAAAAATGGTAGTATAAGTGGGGAGATAAAAAGTTCAACAACTGTTACAACCACCTGTTATGGTGATAAAAAGTTCCTCTAGCCTATTATCAATACAAGATTACAAACTTGCCCGAAAAGATTGCTGTCTCCCCACCCCCTGTTTTGCTAGTGTATTGGCCATACTATTTGCATCTCTTTGAACCCATTGGACTCTCACTTCCATATTTCTAGTTAACCATCTGAGCTTCTTCATTTCATTTCTATAAGCCCAAAGAGCTGCACCTACCTTTTTGCAACTATCTAATCACTGTCCTTGAATCACCTTCAGTAGTTGACCTGTTTCAGCACATCACCCTTGCCCTCTGTACTCCTTCCAAGACCACTATTACTTCAGTCCTTGAGAATCGCCTAAACTAATCAGTGCTGAAAACAGTGGTAGAAATGTAGAATATTGCCTTCCTTATTTCTGAAAATCCCTCCAATGCCTAAAGGCCCTGAATTTCCCAAACTATTCCCATAAAAAATTGAGCTTTATAAACCCTCTCTTTGATGTTGTCCATTCTCTGCATGTCAAAGCCTTTCTCATTGAGTTCCTTGCCACTTCTTTCCATTTTCTTATGATATCATCTGTTGAGTAGGATGAAAAGCTCTCCAAAGTTATTTTGGTGAGGGTGGTCAAGCAGAATATGCTTTGTGCTCTTAATTGCCATCCTATTACAGTGCCTTTATCCAACCTTTTCTAGTGCTTCACTAAATAGAAGACCTTTAATGTCAAAATTCATGAGTAAAATGAATTATAATGCTAATCCTTTGTATGAATAATGCAGTGAGTACATAATTGATCTAATGGGGGCTCCAGGCACTCTAATTCCTGCTGAGGTACCTAGTGGCCATATTCAAAACTCTGGGTTGAATGTAGTGAGCTCTGTAAGCACTTCAGACAGTATAAATGATTCATATTTCACGCGTGACAAGATCAACTGTCAGTCTGAAAATGGCAACCAGGTGTCAGGAGGAATTCCATTTGATCCTGGTTGTAGTTCACAAACTGGTATTTTAGGTTCTAATGAAGCATCTAGTGTCATTCAAGTGAAGGGGGACAATGACAGTTCTATTGAAGAAAGTCAAACTGAGAGATTTGAATATGAATTTGGGAAGCTCCTTCCTTCTTTATATGGATCACACAAAAGCCCATCAGGAACAGGTGAAAAAGCTTCATCTGCCCAAAGGATGAAAGTCAAATATGTTTCTAAATATGTAACCACTGCAGCACAAAACCCGGAGTTTGCACAGAAATTGCATGCTGTTTTGTTAGAGAGTGGTGCATCACCACCTCCAGATTTGTTTTCTGATATTTCAACCCAGGATCCAGAAGGATGTAGAGCACTTGTCAGAAGCCATTTTGTTAAGGGGGAAAAAATTCATGATGAAACTCAATGTTATCTTAATAAGCTTCCCTCAAGCACCGAGCATGCAATTGTACCCTTTGTTGAAGTGGAATCCTTAAATCATGTTGTTTATGAAAATAAGCAAAAAAGTTCTGTTTGGAATATGACAGAAGAACAAAAACAAGATGCAAATATTTCTTCAGATGTTCAACTTTGGATGCCAACTGCTAGTTCATCTACAAGTAAACCAGGTTGTGATTGCTCAGATCATCAGTCTACAAGTGAGGGTTTTATTTTGATTGACAATGAAGTTAAAGAAATGATTCACACTGATTGTATGGCTGTTAAGTCATGTGCAGTTACAAGAACTCCGTATGGAGAACAAATTCAAGAATCTTCACTGTCACACCCAGATAATTCCCACGAAAAGAAACTTCAAAATATATTAACCAGTGCCGCTCCTGAAGGCAATAAGGGAAATGTGGGAAGAATTGCAAATAATGCGGAAACTACAGGCAGTATTTCTTTGCAAGAGCATCCACAAAATGCCCAAGGATCTCTTGTGAAATTAATGGAAACGGCCATTAATGACCAATATATTGTTGACCGTGAGAGAGTTAACCTACAGCTTGATGAGGTTGCTGAATGGGAGATTCCATGGGAGGATCTTCAGATTGGTGAACGGATCGGTCTTGGTAAGGATCTAGTAACTAATTCTGTGAAGTTGTTCTAATGTAGTTGAATCATGAAGTATCATGCATACACTTTCTTCCTTATCACTTCATTGGTTTTTGAAAATTAACTAGACTGCATTTCATTTCTCAGTTAAATGCTTAATCCTAAAGAGTTTGACTACAAAAAAAAATCCTCAAAGAGTTAAGCAAGTTAACTACCCAACTAAAATAAAATTATTCTCATGTTACTAAACAATGAGTAGTGTTTTACCAAACCCCACCCTCCATCTATGAAGTTGTTCTGATGAAGTTTAATCATGTATATGCTTTCTTCCTTACCAATTTATTGGTTTTCCAAAATTACCTAATCTGCATTTCGTTTACTGGTTAAATGCTTAATCCTAAAGAGTTGAGCAAGTTACCCTACTAAAACAAGATTCTTCTTGTGTTACTGAACAATGCATAGTATTTTACTTACCCCCCACCCCACCCAAACAGAAAAGTGAATGTTATCAATTTTTGGTGGTGAAAATTACTTGATATTGAAAATGTATCATGATTTGGAGCAGTCATCAAGGTTTAATCAGCTGCTTGTTTAAATTATTTGGGTTCTGATCTCTCTGTTTCTCTCTCCCCCTCGCTCCCCTCCCCGGTGTGTACTATACAAACAATGAAGTAAAAGGGAAAAGATGGAAAAGGAAAAGCACAAAATTTAGGACAAAGTAAGAAATTCAAATGGCAAACTACAATGTCTGCATATTTGTCCATCTTCTATTTTTTTTTTTTTTTTTTTTTTTTTTGAAAACGGTAAAGTTAAGCACTCATCAGGTATTATGCATTGATGTATCATGTATTCCCTAAAAGTAATTTGATTTATGAAATTATAACTTGTGTTGGTATGATTGTAGACCATGTGGGTGCACACAACACATATTAGGCTAGCTTAGCTGTTCTTAATTCTCATAGTAAGGTAAGAGACCTTGGGAGGTAGCCTCTACTTTTCCATTTGTTAGAGAGTTATTTTTATGTCATTTGGGTTAGAAGGAAAGGCAATCGCTCATTGGGTTATTTGGTTTTACCCTTGATTGTTAGAATTTCTGTCTTATATTTTGTAAGGTTGCAAGAAAGTGTTGTCACTATGTTAACTCATGAACCAAATCAACCAGGCATGTGCATGCACTCATGGGGTGATTTGATTTTTCACTTGAACCAATTGCTTAACATGTCAGGCTAGCTCGATATTACTAACTTGTCTTGGTAAGATAGTAGTCCATGTGAACACGCACAACACACATTAGGCCACCTTAGCGGATTTTGATTGTCATAGTAAGGTAGTAGACCTTGGAGGTAGCCTCTATTTTTCCATATGTTAGTGGGTTGTTTTATAGGGTTGCAATCACTCTATTTTTAAGCCAGCTTGCAGTTGTCCGTGAGTCCGTTCCACTATTGATGTCCCCAAGATCAAATGTTTTAGCTAATTTTAATCCTTGTGATGATGCTCCCTCAGTTATTTCTGAATACATTTTCTTGAGAAAAGTTACTGAATTCATTAAGAAAAGAGAGGGGTAATACTTCTGAATACTCTACCTATATGGTCTAAGGCTACCCAAACAGCACTCATCTAAGTTTAATTTAATGTGGTTAGGTGAGGGAACAATAAAAAACTCTTAGAGATGTAGCCCAGTGAGCCACCATATTTTCTATCAGCACCTCTTTAGATTGGTCTGTACTTTTGAAAAATCTGGTGTTCTTTACTTCCCAAATTATCTATAAGATGGTAACCCTTGTACACCTCCACAGGATTTTTCCTCTTTTATTTGGTGGAGGGGGGGGGGGGAGGATGATTCTTAAAAATGACTTACTACATTTCTTGGGGGTTCCGCCTATACCCAAAAGTGAGAAGAAGAACTTCCAAATGGCAACTACAAATGGACAGGAGATTAGTAAGTGGAAGGTAGTATAGAAGAAATGAGAAGAAGAAGAGAGTAGGAAATCAACCAGGATTGTGAAATTAACCCTAGCCGCCCCCCTCTATATTTATACTTAACTTAAAAAGATGAGATATTACAAGGATGCCCTTAGTAGGGTGGCTACTAAAAGCTGAACAATCACAACTTAAAAATACATAAACTAATGGGCCTAAAGCCCAACAACTTCCTAACTAAATAAAAACAAACCAGACCAACTCAACACTCCCCCTCAAGTTGGGAGTAAATGTCACACATTCCCAACTTGCGTAGATCATGCTCCAGCTTGTTCTTTGCAAYGCCYTTTGTGAGAACATCAGCGAGCTGCAGATCAGAAGTAATGTATGGAAGACAAACTTCTCCAGAAGTTACCCTTTCTTTGATAAAATGTCTATCCACTTCAATGTGCTTAGTTCGGTCATGCTGGACTAAGTTATGGGCAATGTTAATTGCTGCCTGGTTATCATAGTATAACATCATAGGTTCTTCTGCTTGTATACCAATTTCTTCTAACAGGGAACAAATCCAGAGAAGTTCTGAAACTCCATGTGCCATGACCCTGTATTCGGCTTCAGCACTTGATCTTGCCACCACTGTTTGTTTCTTACTCTTCCATGAGACAAGGTTACCCCCAACTAGGGTGCACACTCCTGAAGTTGATCTCTTGTCATCAAGACATCCTGCCCAATCTACATCTGTATAAGCCTCTAGCTTCAACTAGCCATGATTAGTAAACAATATGCCTCTGCCTGGGTGTCCCTTCAGATAAGCAAGAATCCTGTCAACTGCCTCCCAATGCTGGACTCGTGGAGCATGCATGTATTGACTTACTACACTTACTACATAGGAGATGTCTGGTCTTGTCATACACAAKTATAGCAGYCGACCCAYAAGTCTCYGAYATCTCCCAATGTCCTTTACTGGTTCACCTTCTGATGCATTGATTTTATGGTTTTGATCAATAGGGGTGTTGATTGCCTTTGTTCCAAGCTTCCCTGTCTCTTGAAGAAGATCCAAGACATACTTTCTTTGTGAGATAAAAATTCCATGTTTTGATCTTGCAACTTCAATGCCTAAGAAGTATCTCAATTCTCCAAGATCCTTAATTTCAAATTCTTTATGTAGGTTCCTTTTCAGACCATCAATCTCACTCAGATCATTCCCGGTGACAACAATATCATCCACATAAACAATTAGGACTCACACCAAAGATCCCCTTCGCTTCACAAACAAGGTGTGATCGGATTGAGTCTGAGTGTAGCCAAAAGCAATCAAGGCCTGTCTGAATTTGTCAAACCATGCTCTAGGAGATTATTTCAAGCCATAAAGTAACTTCTTAAGCCTGCATACCTTTCCCTTTTCAGTATCATTGTAAAAACCAGTAAGAAGATCCATATACACTTCTTCTTGCAGATCCCCATTTAGGAAAACATTCTTCACATCAAGTTGAAACAAGGGCCAAGAGTATGAGGCAACAAGAGAAAGAAGTATCCGAACAGAGGTCATCTTTGCAACTGACGCAAAGGTCTCTAAGTAATCAATGCCATAGGTCTGTGTGTACCCTTTTGCAACAAGTCTTGCCTTGTACCTTTCTATACTTCCATCTGCCTTATATTTTACTGTGTAAACCCATTTGCATCCAACTGTCTCCTTGCCTTCTGGTAAATCCACAATTTTCCATGTCTGATTCTTAATTAAAGCTGCCATCTCTTCCTGCATAGCTATCTTCCACCTAGGTTTGGAGATAGCCTCACTAACACCCTTGGGTATAGACATTGAATCAAGAGAGGAGAGAAAAGCATGGTAGGAAGGGGAAAGTCCACTGTAGGATAAGTACTGTGGAATACAATGAGCAGTGCACTTTCTTTTCCCTTTTTTGAGAGCAATAGGGAGATCAAGGTTATCTGTAACAGAGTTAGTAGGATCAATGGGAACTGAAACAGTAGCGGGACCAAGAGGAAT